CACGGAGGAGTGTAAGAGAACCCCCGCAGCACTGGGACCCTACCGAGAGCACGGCAACCGACAGGAAGCCCCAGGGGTGTCCGGCACAAACAGGCGCTGGAGAAATGTGCCCTCCTTCCCCGGGAAGAGGGCTGGGCGGTGCCCCTGGTTCGGTCCTCCAGGGACACTGTCAAGACTGTGCTGGGCCTGTTACTAATTCGACAGCACAGGGGTGGCCTGTACCAGGTCCCAGGGACCATGGAAAGCGACAAGATTGGAAGAGACAGGTTGGGAGAAAGTAATGACAGAGGACAGGATCCACCCAAAAGAGCAAACTTTGATTTGCTAAAAACATCCATGAGTTTGCCCAGCCGAAGTGGCTCAACTGGCAGATCATCATCCTGTGCCCTGAAAGGTTGCTGGTTCGATTCCCGATCACAGAGCCTATAGAAGGCAACCGACCCATGTTTCTCTCTCACATCGATGTTTCTGTCTCTCTCTCTCTCTCTCACTCTCTCTAAGCATGTCCTTGGGTGAGGATTAAAAAACAGTAACAGCCCTGGCCAGTGTGGCTCAGTGGTTGGAGGATTGGCCCGCAGACCAAAGAATCATGGGTTCAATGCTGGTCAAGGGCACGTACCTTGGTTGCGGTTCTGTCCCCGGCCCTGGTCGAGGTGGTGCAGGAGGCAACCAATCAATGTGTCTCTCTCACATCGGTCTGTGTGTGTGTGTGTGTGTGTGTGTCCCTCCCATTCTATCTGAAGATATATGGGAAAATATCCTTGGGTGAGGATTTAAAAAACAACAACAACAACATCCATGAGTTAGGCAAGTGCCCCCCCTCAGCCCCCTCCCAATTCAAATCCACAGAAAGCCAAGTGCAAGGCACGGAGCCAGGATGGGTATCAGCGATTAGACCGTTTAAGACGGGCTCTCAAAGCCCAGACGTCAGACATCTCAACTCACAAAGAAAACGTGCGCTTTGTGGACACAATGAGAGCAAATCGGTTTCCCATTCTGTTCCCTTCTCTGAGAAGCAACGGACAAAAATAGACATAATTCAGTGCCGATAAGACAAATAAGACAAAAGTCAGTTTAGCAACTGAGGGGACATCTTTTAGGGGGTGCAGAGCTGATGCAGCTGTGGGGGGGAGCAATGTTCCCCCAGGCACAGGAGGCTGGGGGCTGCCTGGCCTGAGTCTACCGGGGCCCTGCACTGACAGGGCTCAGGCTGGGGGAGGTGACCCCAGCCCTGCTCAGGGGTGTGGGGGTGTCTACAGCAACCAACTGGACAGAGAGAGCACTCTCTGCTGGTCCTTGCTGAAGCCACAGAGATCAGCGACAAGGGTCACCCCCAGGCTCAGGAAGACCCTTGCAGGGTCAGAAATGGGTGTCTGTTTTTCCTGACTGAGCCTCCAAAGGGCCCTCAGGGTCTCGCCAAGAACCCAACTTGCAGTGGGCCATCAGAAGAATATAATCTAATTACTGCCCTAAGACACTCACTCCGCTTGTCCTGGCTCAGAACCAACCCTGTGCCTTCCTCCCAGTCGTGAGAGGCCACCAAATGTCAGCGGCTATGACTCAGCTACTGTCCGCCCCCCAGCCCCGACCTCTGCTGAACCACGAGCAAACTCTTCCTAAGAAGGCACTCGGTCCATAGGGCTCTGGACGAGGTCACCCAGCCGACTCATTGAAGATGGACGTTCCGGGTTCCTGAGCCTTCCGGCCGCTTCCCAACACCCTCCTCTGCCTTTCCCCTGGTCCTAGTATCCAGGCTCAGACCCAAAGTGGGGTGCAGCCCATGGCCCCCACTTTCCTCCTCCATGCTTGCTTTTTTCAGGGACCCAGGACCCAGCGGACGGCCCTTGTGGGTTGTCTAGTCACGGGGACTGTGTTTTCAGCTACAGAAAAGAGAGACTGAACGAGAGGATTTAAAAGATCCTGTGAAACTCAGACATCAAAGGGTCATGGGTTAGATTCCCGGTCAAGGGCATGTACCTGGGTTGCAGGTTCAATCCCTGGTCCAGTCAGGGTGCATGCAGGAGGCAACTGTGATGTGTCTCTCACTGAAGTTTCTCTCTCTCTCCCCCCCTTCTCTCCCCCCCTTCCACTCTGACAATCAATGGAAAAAATATCCTCGGGTGAGATTTAAAAAAAAAATTTTTTTTTTTTTTGAAAAGTGAGATCTGGAAAGGTTTTCAATTTTCTGCAAAAATGAGTTCTCAGTGCCTTTCAGGAAAGATAAGGACACTCTCTGAACTCGGGGTTTAAACAGGCACATGAGCGTTTAGGCCACAGGCCGCAGGATGGGGCCAAGTGGAAGTTTAAATCCACTTGGATTCACTAGGCCTGTTCCTCCCCCGCCCTCCAGCCAGCACACAAGGAGGCACCTGCCTCCAGATGCGCACAGACCAACTGCCCGGGCGGCGCGCCCCCTGCTGGCTGCGGGAAACAGCAGCGCCATTGCCCAGCGCCCGGGAGTCTTGGCTGGGAGAACCCAGGGCCAGCGCGCTGATTCCCACTCGCCCCGTCTGGCAGGGGTCGCCGCTGGGGCCTGTTCCTCTTGCGAGAACACAGGGTTGGAGGGCTGAGCCGGGGCTGGGACCTCTCCCCAGGCGTCTGCATGGTCTGAAGCCCCCAGCGGGGTCGGGGATGAGAACACAGGGAAGTGGGTCTGTGCAGCAGGGCCTTCACCCGGGTGCGAATCAGCGCCTGTCCTGGCCCGTGGAAATCCTAGCAGCCACTGTGTCCAGACCCTCGTTTTCAGAGGAGGGACAGTTGGTGGGGAGCGTCGGTGGCCCGCTAAAGAGCCCGGCAGGGACCAGAACCCGGGTTTCTCCTTTGTCCGCGCCCAGAGGAGCAAGCAGCGATCCCAGGAGGAAAGGAGGCGGTTTGGGGAAGAACACCTGCCCCGTGGCCTAGCAGCCCCGAGCTTGTTTAACGTGTGGCCTGCAGACCACTCCGTCCTCCGGGAGGAATTCCGTTGTACGATCTGGCCGGACCACGGCTGCTTCTAGGTGAGCACAGCACGTGTGACCCAATGTCTGCCGAGCTCCCTAAATGAGGCTGTGCTGGACCAGGTGTTCCGGAGGCTAGGGCTTGGTGGCTTTGCTGAATTTATCCCAGGAAGTGAAGGCTATCAAATGTTTGCCCCCTACAGTTGGGAGGGTTCTGTGCTGGCCTGGTCGCCCTCTCTCTCCTGCTCCTCCTTATATCAAAAATGCACATTTAATAGACAACCGACCAAAGCTATAGGTGCCAGAGAAGCTACGTGGGAATTACACTCCAAATCTACCTGACACGCCAAGTATTTCCTGTGGTCTGCAGTCTGCATGACACGTGACACGTCGGGGAAACTGAGGCAGGCTAGTACGAAGCCAGGAAAATTCCTTGGCAAATAGAATGAGGAAACAGACAGACAGCTGAACGAATGGACCAAGCAATTTACAGCCAGATACGGAAGGTCACCTCCCTAGAGAGAACATCTAGACCTCAGCTGCATTTCAGCTCCAGGCCCAGAAAAGCAGAACCAGGTGGGTGACCCAGGACCAGCTGCAGTGACGGATGCCCCCCGGCCCCGATCTGACCACTCAGTGAGGGCCACGACCCTGAAGGCGCACACCTGGAGAGCTGATGACTATTCTGCTGAAACCCTCCCCGTTTCTCTTTGCATGAAATGAAATTCACTCCGCACCCCCACCCCCACCCCAGGCCATTTTCCTGTCTGCGCCTCCTGCGACACAGGTGAAGGGCGTGATGAGAACTTTCTGCGTCAGGCTCTGTCCTTCCCCCCTTCCCAAGCACAAGTGTTCGTGTTTGCAGGCTCGACTGGGTTTAAATTGGCTTTACTGTGGACACCTTGCAGCTTCCAATAACACAGAAAGGCAGGTGGTTAAAAAATACACATCTGCACAGAAGAGCGTAATTTTGGAGAGGGACAAACAAGACTGAGTCAGCAGATGCCCAGACCTGCGGGCAGACTTGACCTGCTGTGCTCTCCGCCCTGGGCGTTAGGCCCAGAAGCACTTGGCCAGTGCTAACGACAGACTCCCTCCTGGCCGCTTCCGAATGGCCCTAACCCACTCCTGGTCGGCTACTCCATGCCCCAGTCTACGGGCCCCCAGTGAGGCCGCACCACGGGGACAGACGCGCCACGTCCTGATACGGCGTCGCCTCCTCCCGTGTGCTCAGGAACAAAAGTCTCTTGGACTAGATCCAGGAAAAAAGATGCTGTGTGCTCTGAATTCGACCTCTAAAATTCTAGATCATCCAGCAATTGAGTGAACACCTGGGCCAAGACTGTGGCGAGGGGCAGCCAAGCCCCCTGAGCTGGCTGAGCCGCCTCCCTGCCCTCCTAGCCAAGGCCCCGTTTCTCTGCACTCAGTTCTGAGCCATACAGGGGGTGCTGATCCCTCTCCCCTAACTTCTGGGCTGAGCTCTGGGGAGGCCAGAGTAAAATGTACTTGCAAGGGCCCTGCAGAGACAGGTAGAGGCTAACCTTAGACAAATCTGAAGTCTTGTGCTACAGGCCAGGCGGCAAGAGGGGAATAATTTCCACTCCAAAGCACAGGCAACAGCCCTAGCCGGCGTGGCTTAGCGGTGAGAGCATCGGCCGGAGGACCAAAGAGTCACGCATTTGATTCCGGTCAAGGGCACGTGCCTCGGTTGTGGTTCGGTCCCCAGCCCTGGTCCGGTCGTGCGGGAGGCAACCAGTTGATGTGTCTCTCTCGCGGCGAGGTTTCTCTCTGTCCCTCCCTCCCACTCTGTCTGAAGATCAATGGACGGATATACTCGGGTGAGGATTTTTTAAAAAAAAGAACAGGCAACAGAAAGAGCCAGACCCACACAGAATCCAGGAAGAGGGTTCTGCCCAACCCGAGCTAGCCTGAGGCCCGACTGCAGCTTCACCCACTTGTTCTCAACCTGAGTATGTGTCTTCACGTGGTAACGCGAGTAAGAGTTGCCCCGCGCAGCTGGGGCCAAGCTCTGTGCCCGTGTGAGGGAGGGCCCTCAGATCTTACCCGGCCAGCACCTTCTCCTGTGGGTGTGAGCCCTCCTCCCCCTTCATTACCAGTATGCACACAACGAGTCAGGAGTTGACGCCCGACTTCCCCAGGTTGTTGTTGGTTTGGCTCAGGGGTTGCTGCGTGTTTACCAGTGTGGGTTAACCTGCCAGAGAGGAAAAGCAGCCTGCAGCTCTGTTCCACACTGGAGAGCCAGGCCGGTGAAAACAAGTCACAGCTGCATTCACAGATAAGGGCTTAATGGCCCAGCAGGAATTCCATGAACAGATACAGTGTTTATTCACTCGCGCTGTGGGGAATCCATCTTGGTGCCCTGAATTCCTTTTCCTGTAAACATCCTAACAAAAAAGACAGAAAAGTACTTTTTTTTTCTTTATTGATTTTAGAGAGAGAGGAAGGGAGAGGGAGAGAGAGAAGAGAGATAGAAACGTTGATGAAAGAGAACATCCATTGGCCGCCTCCTGCATGACCCCACTAGGGATCAGGCCCACAACCTGGGCATGTGCCCCAACCGGGAATCGAACCAGTGACCCCTTGGTACATGGGCCAACGCTCAACCACTGAGCCACAATGGTAGGGCATCGGTGTTTGTCTCTTCTCCCTCTCTCTCCTTCTCACTCTATTTGAAGACAAAAAGAAAGATAACCTTGGGTGAGGATTAAAAAAAAACACTAACAGGAACAAGTGCTGAAGAAGAAACAGAAACCCTCACATATCCCTGGTGGGATTATGAAAAGGTACCTCCACTTTGGAAAACAGTTTGGCAATATCTCAAAATGTTAAACATTAACTTACCATACAACCCAGAAATTCTACTGCTAGGAATTTACCCACACAAAGACGTTCTCGAGTGTCCATAGCAGCATTATGTATAATAGTCAAGAGCTGGGAATAGTCAACATGTAATCAGCAGGTGAATGGATAAACAAATGTGGTATATCCATATAATGGAATACTACTCAGCCATCAAAAGGAATACTACTTGCCCCGCCGGTGTGGCTTAGTGGTTGAACATTGACCCTGCAACAAGAGGTCCCGGTTCGATTCCTGGTCAGGGCACATGCCCAGGTTTGGGCCAAATCCCCAGTAGGGGGCAGGCAGGAGGCAGCCAATCAATGTTCTCTCTCATCAATTTTTCTGTCTCTCTCTCCCTCTCCATTCCTCTCTCTTTAAAAAAAAAAGACTTCACTTTCAGTTCCTGTGACAATGATCCCAAAAGATCCTTTTCACATGTAAAATGGGGAGAAGTAAACCAATTTTTTTAAAAAGTCAATCTGGCTTAGAATATAAACAAAGAAGATTGGAGATTCGGGACTATCTGACAACATTTTAAGGAAGAAAAGGGGAAAAGAGGACCTATGAAGTGAAGTAAAAAAAAAAGAAACGCTCAAATGAGCCTCGTTTTGGATCTGACGTCTCATCAGCTTTGCCTTTAAATTATCTTTCTCATTTCACCCAGAATTCGGGGGTGTTAAAAAACAAAATTCACCGGTGTATTTGGAGCTCTGACTGGCTTTATTAAGCAAGTCATGAACTGGGCAGCACCCCCATTTAACAGCTAGAGCTCCGAGGGGTCCTACGAATGGAAGGTTTTATCGGCAGAGGGTGGGGCAGGAAAGTGATCAGCAAAAGGGAAGAAAGAAGTCTTAGAGCAGGACATCTTTTGGGGGGGGAAATGGCAAAGTTCTTATCCTGTAGATTGCCTCTTGCATTTAGGGGTAGAGAGAGGGCCCATGTGACAGATCAGCTCATTGGTGTTGACCAGAAAGTTGCAGGCTGGTTGACTGTTTCTGGGAGAGGTTGGAAAGCAGTTAGATCAGGTATTAAATCTAGGTTTGGGTTATAGGCTATTACCATGAGTGATGCCATTTGGAGCCTTATGGGAAATTGTTAAATTTCCCCTTTTGAGTCTACTCGCAGTTTAACTGAAAGATGTGATCTAAAATTAAGGGATTAGCCCGGCCAGTGGCTCGGTGGATTGAGTAGCATCCCATGGACTATGAGGTCACTGGTTCGATTTCCGGTCAGGGCACATGCTGGGGTTTGGGGCTCGATCCCCAGTAGGGGGCGTGCAGGAGGCAGCCAGTCAATGTTTCTCTCTCACTGATGTTTCTATCTCCCCCCTCCCTCCCTCTCTATGTAAAAAAATCAATAGAAACATTAAATTTAAGGCATTAGCCTCATTCTCAGCTCCCTCGGCAGTGACCTTCGCAGGTCACAGGTCCAAGTTCGTGACCCTTAAAGCCATTCACTCTCTCCCTTCCCTCTCCGACCGTCCAGTCTCTGGAAGATCACTTGCTTGGCAGTTAGCAGCGCAAACATGAATTTAAAGCTGCTGAGAGGCCCTGGCCGGTTTGGCTCAGTGGTTAGAGCATCAGCCTGCGGTCCAGAGACCCGGGTTCGGTTCCTGCTAAGGGCATGTACCTCGGTTGCAGTTTGTCCCCAGCCCTGGTTGGGTCATGTGGGTGGCAGCCACTCGATGTGTCCCTTCACATCGATTTTTCTCTCTCTCTTTCTTCCTCTCTCTTCTTCTCTCTGCCTGAACAAAAAAATGGAAAAATGTCCTCGGGTGAGGATAAATAAATAAAACTGCTGAGCGAATACACCACTGGGGAGACCATTATGCTGTAGACGTTAGAAATGTTCAACCTTAGAAAATGTTTGTGAGTACATGGGAGCCAAACTGACAACTGCCAGGAAGCAAAATCTCAACAAACTGAGAAACAGCTCTGGAGAGCAGCAGTTTTGCAGCTTATTTTAAACACTGGAATCAAAGGAGGAGACCTAGTGGGGGTTACATGAAACCCCGGTGGTGGATGGAGGGGGTGAGAGAAAGCAGAGCGGGGAAACCCCTGATTTGGAGGAGAGTAACCGGAGACACCTGACGCTGGCGGCTCCGTGACAGGGACCAGGGAACACTCACGGCACCCGGAGACGGTGTGTGGGAACGAGCCCGCGGCCCGGTCTCGGCTCTGGCTCTGGTGCCGAGGCTGTGCCCCAGGGCTCGGGAACAGTGCCTCTGAGTTTGCAGGCCCACCACACAGGCCTCCCCTGAGCTTGTCGGGTTTGGTACGTGGCCCCTTTTCTGTCCACTGATAACCATAAGCAGGATAATTCCCAATGTTTGGAGTACACTTTGGGGCCACAGTCCCCAAGACCCAACACATTCAGAGAAAGACCCCGGGGAAGGAGTCACCCTTTGAGCTAGATTGGCTTACTCGGTGATTTTTTTTTTTTAAATCCTCACCCAAGGACATTTTTGCATTTATCTTCAGATAGAGCAGGAGGGAGAGAGGGAGGAAGAGAGAGAGAAAAACATCGATGTGAGAGAAACACATCGAGTGGTTGCCACCTACACGACCCCAACCGGGGCCGGGGATGAACCGCAACCGAGGTACGTGCCCTTAGCGGGAACCGAACCCGGGACTCCCTGGTCCGCGGGCTGACGCTCTAACCGCTGAGCAAAACTGGCCAGGGCGCAGTGATCTTTTATGTAACTGAGCTTCGACCTCCCCAGAAGCGTTGCTCCAGGTACAGCCGGCAGCGTTGGCCAAAGCCCAGGCAACACCTTGTTTCGCTGAAGATAATCCGGGGCCGCTCGGTCTCCAAGAGTTAAGGAAAGGCTGTCCGACTTAAATTTATTCCTAACCAGGGAAGTAGGGCCCTGCCAAAGTAAGCACACCCTGAATCATGGACAGTCTCCCAGTAGTTCTTTCTAGAACAGTTAGAGGCACAGTTAGATCATCTAAGAGGCATTGCCCATCTGGGCACCAGCCACTAGCCTTCATAGGCCCAAGGCGAATGACAATCACCACGAACCGGATAAATCCTGTCAGGGCACAATTGCCCATTCAAGCAGGGGTCAGTCATGTTTTCTCCTGGCCTGAAATAAAACGTAGTCCTAGTCCTGCCACTGTGGCTCAGTGGTTGAGCGTCGACCCATGCACCAAGAGGTCGCCGGTTCAATTCCCGGTCAGGGCACATGCCCAGGTTGCGGGTTCAATCCCCTAAGAATCATTAAAAATCTATTTAAAAAAAAAAATTCCACTGCACAGAGAGACCACATTTAATTTATTCCTTTATCTGTTAACGGACACGGGTGGTTTCCACCTGTTGGCTATTGGGCGTAGCGCTGCTACAAACAGTTGTGACATCTCTGCAAGTCCCTGCTTGCCTTCTTTTGGGGTATACACCCAGAATGGAATCGCTGGATCAGACAGTAATTCTAGGTTTAGTTTTTGGAGAAACTGACACACTGTTTTCCACAGAGGCTGCAACTATCTTACATTCCCACCAACAGTGCACAAAGGTTCCGATTTCCAATCCTCACCAAACTCACTTTAACAGCAGCCATCCAAAAGGGTATGAGGATCCGAAATGTGTAAAATGTTCCTTGGCACTAATTTTTCTTTTGAGAACTTAAAAACTCTCAAGGGATTTATCGTATGAAAATCAACAACCAACCAACCGGAAGTCCCAGAGGAAAGAAGTCCTTGGGCCCTGGTCAGTTTGGCTCAGCGGTAGAGCGTCAGCCAGTGGTCCGGAGAGACCTGGGTTTGGTTCCCACTAAGGGCACGTACCTCGGTTGCAGTTTGTCCCTGGCCCTGGTTGGGTCATGCAGGTTGGCAGCCACTCGATGTGTCCCTTTCACGTCGATATCTCTCTCTCTCTCTCTCCCCCTCCCCTTCTATCCAAACAAAAAATGGAAAAATGTCCTTGGGTGAGGATAAAAAAAGAAAGAAAGAAAGAAAGAAGTCCTTGGTATAAACAGCCAAAGCCCAGGTTTAGTGGTTTTCAAGACTCTGGGTTTGGGGAAACTCGGGGCAGACGGGCCTTCGGATTCACATAGCAAACATATGACTCAATAAAGGTTGCTTAAGGTGTAAGGCAAATCTCTATATGTTACATTTTCAATGAGTCCTGGCCGGTTTGGCTCAGCAGTTAGAGTGTCAGCCCAAGGACCAAAGAGTCTCGGGTTCGATTCCAGTCAAGGGCACGTACCTCAATTGCAGTTCGGTCCCCAGCCCTGGTCGCGGTCCGGCAGGAGGTGACCAATCGACGTTTCTCTCTCCCTCCCACTCTATCTGAAGATAAATGAAAAGACATCCTTGGCTGCAGGTTAAAAAAGATTTTTTTTCAACAAGAACAGCACATCCATCGTTACACACACCCCACCCGCGAGACCAAGCCGAAACCCTTACTCACCTAGAGAGGAGGGTGAAATGATCTGACAGAGTATATAAGACATAAGCGTAAAAATCAAACTCTTTATTTCATTGACACGTTTCACGTTTAACTCAGGAATAACAATTTCAAAGACGAGCTTAATGTTACCAGTCATCTCAGGAGCACACCAAGAACACCACCATTTATAGACCTAAAAATGGAGGGAAAACAAAATCCCCCGAAACAGAAAACATGAGCTCGAAGTGGAAAGCGAGTAGCATGGCTCGTAGCAGCGGGAGGCAGCCGGAGTCTCATTCCCCATCTTCTCGCCTCTGTTCCATTTCCCTTTTGACAAGTTATCAGGAGGCCTACAGGTGACAGATGCTATGGCTTCCTTGCTCTGCAGATCCATTAGGAGCAAACAGAGCAAGAGCCTGGGAGAATGACTGACATGGGAGTGAGGACCCAGTTCTGCAAGTACATGTGAAACAGGTAAGCCCAGCGCGATAAGCCACCTTGGAGGATGGTCCCGAGGAGCCCTGACTCCTGGTCCTCACTCCCTTGTGCAGTCCCCTCCCTCGAGGGTGGGAATCACTTTGAGACTGCCTTCTCTCTTTTCTGGCTTGCTTTCTTTGATGAAGACAGGTGCCATGTTTTGTGAGCTGCCCTGAAGACAAACAGCTCCGTGGAGCAAGGAGCAGAGGGTGGCCTTCAGCCAACAGCCCTAAGAAACTAAGACTCAGCCCAGCAGCATGTGAGGAACCAACTCCGGCCGACAGGGGCACAAGTGAGCTGATGAGTGTTGGTCCACCCCCGCTGAACCCCAGCGGACACCTTGACCACACAGCCTTGTGACAGGCGCAGCTGTGCCACGCCCAGATTCCTGACCCACAGGAAGTCTGAAAGGACAAATGTGTGTTTCAAGTGGCTAAGTTTTAGGCTAATATGGAGTGATAAAAACTAATACACCAAAAAAACAAAAACAAAAAACTAATACACCTGGGCAAACAATGGTGTGCTTAAATAGATAAAATCATTTGTTTCTGAAATAGCATTCACAAGTGATTTCTAAAGGATCAACGAAGCCAGCTGAGTTTATCTGAACTTCAAGAAAGAAACCTAACGCCAGCACGGGGAACAAGAGTTTAGTGCTCCCCACAAATGAAGCGTCTCCAGGGTCTGGCTCCCACTGGGGTTTCCCAGCTCCGCATTTGCCAGCGAGTCTGAAATTCCTCAGATTTGTAACATTTCTAAATCTCTAGCAGGTTTAAAAAAAAAACGACGAGCCCTGGCTGGTTTGGCTCAGCGGTTAGAGCGTTGGCCTGTGGTTTGGAGAGACTCGGGTTCAGTTCCCCGCTAAGGGCGCGTACCTCGGTTGTGGTTTGTCCCCGGCCCTGGTTGGGTCATGCGGGTGGTGGCCATTCGATATGTCCCTTTCACGTCGATGTTTCTCTCTCTCTTCCTCTCTCTCCCTCTCACTCTATCTGAACAAAGAATGGAAAAATGTCCTCCGGTGAGGATAAAAAAACAACAACAAAAAACAGGGCGTTTGTCCTCTTGGCTTAATGGACTTCACCATACATTTCTTCATTTGTACAGTTAAAAATCACATTTAAAAGCAAGCTCTTCCATTCATAAACAATGGCCAGAAGAGGCAAACCCACAGAGAGCGGATTAGTGCGTGCCAGGCCCGGCAGAGGACTGGGCATGACTGCTAACAGGCATGCTGTTCTTTCTGGGGTGATGACAATGCTCTGGAATTAGGTCATGGTGATAGTTATACAATCTTGTGAATATACTAAAAAAAAAACATTAAACTGTACATATTAGAAAATGGTGAATTTTATGGCTTCTGAATTGCATGTAAATTTTTTTTCAATTTTTTTTCCTTTATTGATTTTAGAGAGAGAGGAAAGGGAGAGGGAGAGAGAAATAGAAACATGGATGAGAGAGAACATCGACTGGCCGCCTCCTGCATGCCCCCCACTGGGGTTGGGCCCACAACCTGGGCATGTGTCCTGACCGGGAATCGAACTGGCGACGCTCAACCACTGAGCCACACCGGCTGGGCTAAATTTCTATTTTATTTTAAGCAAGCTCTTGTGGAGGAAAGTTACCGTTTCCGTGTAAACCGCCCGAGCAGTCAGGCTGCAGCCCCGACTTCCCAGCTGTGTGCGCCGGCGCCTGCTCCAGGCAGCAGCGACCTCGCGGCCCGGAGCTCGCTTGTCGGCATCCGTCCTCTAGAACCAGAGACCTCCTCCTCCTGTCACTGCGGCTTTAGTGTTTTCCTTCAGTTACAGACGCTAGACTCCTGTTTTCAGGGCTGCAGACTCGCTCTACAACACTTAGCAGCCTCTCCTCGCTCTGAACTGCGAGGTAAGAAAACGTATCAAACCGCATTTAAAGAGGAAGAAAGTGCAAACAGCATCTTGCGATTTATTTCAATGTCACTCCCAGACACACATGTGCCTAGCATGTGCTCCCCATTATTACGCAGTAGCACACTCGATACCCAGGGGGAACCTCCCGTGACATGCGGCCTAGTATTCGGAGTCGAGGTCTTTCAAGGAGACAGGAGGGAGAGGAAAACATCTACACTCGGCAACATGATCATACAGAACTCGCGACAGATGAGCTGAAGAACATCCTCGAACAATTACAATGGACAGAACGCGTTTCCCTCACTCCACCTTAAAGAGTGCATGTCTGTAAACTTGAACACCGACCCTGGCAGACTGGCAGTCCGACGTCTCTGATCTTGCACACCAATCACCAGCACGCTGAGAATGGGCGGTGGCGTCCTCAGTCACGCTGTCCCCAGCTGTGCTGTCTGCAGCGGGGCCTCCCTCCTCTCGCCGGCTCCGTGGATCAAATACTGCGGTAGTCAGAGCCCCGAGCGACAACGGCAGCAGCTTCCCACTCCACGGTGAAGAATGACACAGTTCCAAAAAACCCGAAGATCACCATGAGCAGGAGTTGCCAATGGAGAAGAAGGTAGTTACTGTAGAAAAACGCCACGGCTGCACAGATGGACTAAGGACAGAGAAAACAAGTCACAACGTGCACAGGAGGCCTCAGCTCCACAGCGAGCCCCGTGCACCCCCTGCCCCCAGCTCTGTGGCTGGCAGTGCCCTCGGCTCTCCCTGCGCCTCCACAGGACTCCACGAGTCACCAGCTCATGGACATGCATCAGAAACGCCCGTCTAGAGGCGGTAGCCATCAAGGAGCTACAAATCTCTGTCACAACAGTAACTGTGAAAACTGGAGTAATGACACAGTGTGCAGACAGTGAGGGCTGTCCACCATGAATGGACCCAGGGACCGAAAGGGAGTGTCTAGTGTCTGAGTCGTAGAGAGCAGACGGCAAATCCCTTCCCCAGGTGCGGGGCAGCGACACGACGCACTGCTTCTGCGCTGCGCAGTCAGACATGAGCAGAGAAGGACCATGGCCACATGCAGAGGGTCACCAGGTAGAAGCCCCAGGTGCCTAGCAAAGGAGAACTGTAGGGTGGGCCCTCGCCCCCAGGGTGACCTTCCTCCCCTAGCACATGGCTGGTCATGCGGTTTGGGCCCCCCGACCTTCCTTCCCTAGAGACAACATCTAGGCCTCAGTGTACTTCAGCTCCAGAAGAACAGCAAAACCAGACCAGCAACCCCATGGGTGCCCCAGGACCAGCTGCACAGGATGATAACCCTGCCCTGGCGCAGTCAGTGCAGACAGACCCCACCTGAAAGGACACACCTGGACAGCTGCTGAATACTCTACTGAGATCTTCCGAGACCGCCCCTGAAATCTCCACCCTTAATCCCCTGAGGACAAGGGGACCCAGGGAGCTGTCCCTCCCCACCCCTTGTCCCTCCCTCCTTCCCCCCAGGCATCACCTTGACCTTCCTCACTCCCAAGCTCCAAGAGCCCTTCCTTTGCCTCTATAACTTGTTTCCTCAGCGAATTTCTTCTACAAATTACTTCTTCTACCTCGGTGATTTTCCAAACAAATGTCCTCTTATAGTGTGGGTCTTGCCTCTGATTTCTTTCCAAGCCAGAACGCAGGTACTGAGGTTGCTGAACCCAGGTCCGGCCTGACCCACGGGTCTAACACCTGGTGCCCTTCCCGCCGCCTACAACACTTCTTAATTCTAATCACAAGTCCCCGAAAGGCTGTCCCTGGCATTCATCTCAGACACACGAAGAAAACGAGGTTAAGCACTAAAACAAAGGGCGCACAACCTGCGAAGGGGCTACCTGGACGAACTTAAAGACCGCGAACGCGGGCGCACTGTCTTCGGAGTAGAGGAAGCCCAAGATACTGAGCAGCTGGGTGTTGAAGCAGCTGTCTCCAAGACCCAACAGGAGACTGCAGAAGATGGCCACTTCTTTGCTGAATAAAATAAAAATGCATTTAGAATGAGTATCAACAGTATTTGCTAGAGCCATTTATTTATTTATTTATTTATTTAAATCCTCACCCGAGGACATTTTTCAATTTTTTGTTCAGGCAGAGTGGGAGGTAGGGAGGGGGAGAGAGAGAGAGAGAGAGAGAGAGAGAGAGAGAGAGAGAGAGAAGAGAAACATCGATGTGAAAGGGACACATCAAGTGGCTGCCACCTGCACAACCAACTAGGACCAGGGACAAACTGCAACCGAGGTACGTGCCCTTAGCAGGAACCAAACCCGGGTCTCTCTGGACTGTAGGCCGACGCTCTAACCGCTGAGCCAAACCGGCCAGGGCTGCTAGAGCCATTTAAAATGTAAGAGCAACTCACCCACAAAAGCATTTTACCTTCCAATAAACACTGTGAGACAAGAACAAACAGAGAGAGTTTCCAGAGGGAGAGCTCATGCTCTAATGCACCCGCGGCCACAGCCTGGCCGGCTCTGGGCTCCGTGTGTGGGCTGCCCGAGCGCGGGCATCTGGGCACGAGGCCTGTATCTGCGCACACAGCGCCGGCTGCCCTGCGAGAGCCCTGGCTGCCCTGCCCGCTGGCTGCCCTGCCCGCTGGCCAGCTCCCCTTCGCTCCTCGCTTTCTTCCTCCTGACCTTCGCTTCGAGAGAGCTCACTGCTCAAAGAGCAGAGGTGAAAACATTCAAACCAGACACTTCCGGTGCTCCTTCAGACTGAGAAAAAGACTTAGTTGGGGGAAAGGTGAAAACCAACGACAAAAATAACTCTGTGGATTTCTATCTAAACGCATTCTAGCTCCATTAACACTTGACAGGTGACCTTATAAAGATAACAGGCTTCCCGGAAAAGGATTAACTGCTCCATTCTAAAGATCGAGCCATCTGCTGGCCCTGCCCCACCCTCCCTCCCTTGGGTTGCCAGGGAGGGGTCACCATACCTGGGTTTGATGTAGGCACTGCTATCGGTCCCCTCGAGGGGAGCAATAGGGGCATCCGCAGGCATGTTGAGAAATATTAAATAAAAAGCTACAAAATGCACCAGGATGCCCAGCAGCACCACTGGGTTTCTACCGAAACGATTATTCTTGCTCAGCAGGCCAAAGAGGCTTCCACCTAGAAAATCGATGAGACAGAACAGAAAACCCAAGGTCAAGTTAATAAATCAAATCGATTTGAAAAAAGAAATAAACTAGACAAACCAATAGTTAATTTAATCAATAAAAACAGAATGCACAAATATATAAAATAAGAAATAACTATTGAAACAGAAATAATTTTAAAAGTCAGAATGGACTTCTAGGTGAGATGGAGTAACAGGGACTGGTTTAAAAAATGTACAAAAAGTGTAAAGCAATGGATGCGAAGTCGGAACGGATGTCAGGCATCAAAGGGCAGTGATGTCCGAGACAGGAAACAGAGGGTGAGCCTCCACCGCCCCGCTGTCAGAGGGAAGGCATGGGGGCGCTGCCTCCGAGCCGAGAGCCTGGGACACCGGGTCCAGAGCTCCCAGGACGGAACCACACGGACAGCTGCTCAGAGACCACTCGGGAGACCTGCGCGGTGCCCTGGTCTCGACGGAGTGCTGGTCCGCCATAGTGTGGGCGAGCCAGCAGAGACCCAGGAAAGGGGCCCTCCGAGGGCTGGAGGCATTCGCGCCCTGCCCTGGGCTGGCACAGTGCCAGGCCCGCAGCCAGCCGGGACTCTCCTCACTCCCACCCTGGTGCACACGGCAGGATCTCCCGTCAGGAGGAAGGAACACGCAGCCCCGGTGTGAACGCTGCTCCAGACCTGCCCCACACATCTTATGAGCAGGACCTGAAAGGATCACACTGTTTCCAAGCAAACGAACTGCATCCAAAAACAAAGCCCAGGAGTATTCATAGGACTACAAACACATCCAGCACCCAACAAGGTCAAGGTCACAATGTCTGGTGTCCGCAACATCACCAGGCACGCACAGTAGGACAACAGGACCCCTCTCGAGGAGAAAGATCAGTCACACAGAGTTACCATGTGACCCAGCAAGTCCAGTCCTACGCAGGCATCCACCCAGGAGAAGTGGAACAAGTGTTCCCACAGAAACTACTCACACCGGCCCGGGGCTCAGTGTCCGTCAGATGATGGCGGGTGGGATGTGGTGTATCCATACAATTCGTGTTTATAAGAAAGGAATGAGCGTGTGCTGGAACACGGAAGAGGCGTGAGAACACTACACTAAGTGGAAGAAGCCAGACAGAGACCATCCACAGCATGATTCCATTGAAATGCAATGTCCTGAACGAGCAAATCTACAGAGAAAGACAGTGGACTGACCAGCAGTTGCCTGGGGAAGGGTGATAAAATGTTCTAAAATCACAGTGATGGGTGCACAACCAAGTGCAAACCCTGAAGAACACTGACCTGTACACTTCCAATGAGTGAATCATGTGACATGTGAATAATATCTCAATAAAGTTGTAAAAAAAATAAAAAAAAAGCTTACCCCAGAACTGTCACAGATGTGAGACTGAGCAAAGACAGAGCAATCACGGTAACTGCACTGCACGTGCTCCAGTATCTGCACTGGGGCGCCCGGTGTGACAACAGAGGAACAGAAACACAGGCTGCTCGCCCCACAGCTGATCGGGTCTGACAGTCTGGGGTCCCTATGTGTTCCATCTGTGCTCTTCCCCAAGAACACAAGCTCCGTGTAGGCAGGGAGTTTGTAGTTCACACGGTGCATTCACAATAAGTATTGTTGGTAAGCCCCTCACATGTGACCCAATGTCCAGGATACTGTGTTTGCACAGATGTGTGGAGTCAGGAAAACGAGTGTCGTATGATAAAGTACTTGGCCTCTGCCTGGCTCCTTCCTCCTCCCCCTTCCGGTACAGAGCTCCTAACCCCGGGATCCCGTGTTCCGAGTGCCTTCTCTCGGCCACAAGGATCCCTTTCCCAGGGCCGGAGTCCGTGCTAACGAGGCGATCCGTGGGGAGGGCTGGGGTGGCCCTAAGAAAGCCCTAGGAGGGGCTGGCTGCCAGAAGGACCAGGCCTTGATTAGAGGGTTGGAACTTTCAGCCCCACAACCTTGGGAGGGGAGGAGGACTAGAGAGAGTTAACCACCAACGGCCATGGACTAATTAACTGTGCCCTCATGATGAGACTGCCACAAAAACCCCTAAACCATAGTGTGGGGAGAGCTTTCCACATGCTGGCAGGGTGCTGCACCCCAACTCCATGGGGACGAGGCTCCCTCACTCAGAACCCTTCAGGACTTTGTCCTATGAACCTCTTCATCTGGCTGGTCACTTGTACCCTCTACAACAAACTAATATTGAGCATAACATTTTCCGGGGGGCTTGTGGGGATCCCAAATTCATAGCCGTGAGACAGAAGCGCGGGTAGCCTGGGGACCCGGAACTCACTACTGGCATCTGAAGTGAGGGCAGACGCCCTTGACCCTGGGGAGTGTGCGCTGACCCCGCAGGCCAGCGGAGCTCAACCTGTGGTCGCGACCCCTGTGGGGGTTGAATGACCCTTTCACAGGGGTCGCCTAAGACATACAGTAGCAAAGTTGCAGTTATGAAGTAGCAACGAAAATAGTTGATGGCCGGGGTCCCCACACACGAGGAGCTGCCCGTGTAAAGGGCCGCGGCTCCAGGAGGCTGAGGACCGCCGCTGCGGGCAGTTGCCAGACCTGGACCGGAGAGGCGGCCCCACTGTGTCGGAGGAGAAGGCCAGGGGTTCCGAGCCACTTCCCCGAGCAGTTTCAGGGACTGTGTTACCCTGTTCATGGTTCTGTCTGTGGGTTACCTGGTAAATGTCTAGTCATTTAGTTGTCTTAGAACAGTGACAACAAAACAAAAAAAAAAAACAAAGGCATACCCATTTGGGTAAAAATAAGTGGGGAAATAAAAAATAGAAAGGTCAAGTACACTTCAAATGTCTATTATAACTTAGCAAACTGATTTAATGCAAAACCTTTCTCCTGACCTAGAATCTCTCCAATGCCGATGAAGATGCCCGACAGTCCGATGAGGCTCTTCTCCTCCGTCCCGAATGTATTCACGGCGCCGATGCAGGTTCCGTACACACCAGAGAAGAACGTCAGCTCCAGACCTTTAGAAAAAAGCGGGTTCACGTGAGACTCCCACACCCTCCCCCAGCTTGCCTTCAGGTAGCAGTTCTAGCTGTGTCCGTCTCTAACTCACACAGAGACAGACCCGGGCTCAGGCAGACACCTCCCAAGCGGAGCGTGAGTTTAGGCTACATAACTGATGCTGTGGGATTAGCCACAAGGTGGCAGATGTCACATATTTCAGATAAAAATACACAACTCAAAGAAGCAAAGACATCTTTAAGTTAAAAATGGTCACTCTGTATGCAGACAGGGGATGGGCAGAGGATATAATTAACATAAAAAAATTTTTTTAATTCCTTACCCGAGGATATTTTTCTTCTTATTATCAGTTAGAGGGAGTGGGGGGGAGAGACAGACAGAGAGAAACATCGGTGTGATGGAGCCACATCGACTGGTTGCCTCCCGCACGAACACGACCAGGGCTGGGGATGAACCGCAACCGAGGTACATGTCCTTAACTGGAATCGAACCCGAAACGCATTGGTCCACGAGCCGATGCTCTAACCGCTGAGCCAAAGTGAACAGGGCTTAACATAAATTTTTTTTTTTTTGGTACGTGCTCCTAGCAGGAACTGAACCCAGGACTCTCTGGTCCGCAGGCCGACGCTCCAACTGCTGAGCCAAACCGGCCAGGGCTTAACATAAAATTTTAATAGCTTTCAAGAGAATGGGAACATACATTTAGAAAACCAATATGTACTATCACACAATAATATTTTAATTAAACCCCTTTCCCAGGACAAAATTTTTTTTTAATTAGGGTGAAAATGAGGGCAGATCAGAAGACCTGATTCCTCAATGCTACACACCTTAACTGAATTCTAAAGCCGTTCAGTATTTATTCTTTTTCTCCTAAAAAGCAGTTTGTACCCATGAAGCAGGTAAGGGTAAAGGGGAAGCTGGCTCATTACGGCCTGTTTCCGAGAGGCAGACTTCCTCATCATCCCTGAGACCTCCAGCGCTCCTCCCTTTAGCACATCCCGTGACTGGTGGCGAGCCTCAGGCTGGCTCCTTTTCCTTAGAAACGATCTTAGTCCATGTAAAATCACCAAGATCTACTCATGTCATTTTCCGTAGTGCTCCACTTTGCCTGAAAATCACTGGCGGGGATGAACCGTGCCCTTGGCTATAAGCCTGCGTGCAGGACGGTCCCACACTGAACATGGGCTGGCCCTGTGTGCAGCGGGGGTGACGCTGGGCAGGTGCCAGGCTGACTTAGGGTCCGGTCGGTTCTCCTTTGGCCCTTTTTGGAGCCCATGCCAGTGAGAAGTCTGGCTATCCTGCTGGGTTGGAAGGAGGGGATCACGTGGGAGGAGGTCCTGCAGCTGGCCAGACACCTGCAGAGAGAGAGCCCTGGCCTGGATCTGACCTGTTCATACAAGCAGATGAAACCATCTTGAACATTCGGGCCGGCTGCCCTCTAACTGCACCCACGAGAGACCCCCACGGAGACCCCCAGAAGGACCACCCAGCGGAGCCCAGTCAACGCACAGAAGTGTGACACACAACAGCACGGTGGTGGTTTTTAGCCCTTGTTCTCATTATTCAGCAACACAAAACACACAAAATACTTAAATCCTTATAAGTACTTACCTGTATAGGCAGTTGTAATGCTAAGAAGGAGCATCTCCTTGGTGACACATAATTTAAGAGACTTTTCTGTGAAACAAACAAAAAAAAACAATTTTGGAATACTTACCTCAATTTCAGTTAATCAAACAAAAATTCTGAATCATTTATTCACCAAAACACCCCTTGGTCAATAATGTTAGTAAACAAATACCCTGGGACAGAGGTTTGTGCTTCAGATGAAAATGTTTAAGGTGAGCCCTGGCCGGTTTGGCTCAGCGGTTACCCCCAGACCAAAGAGTCGTGGGTCTGGTTCCAGTCAAAGGCACGGACTTCAGCTGCAGTTTGGTCCCTGGACCTGCTTGGGCTCGTGTGGGAGGCAACCAATCAATGGTTCTCTCTCTCCCCCCCCCCCCCCCACTCTATCTGAAGATAAATAGAAAAATATCCTTAGGAGAGGATTTTTTTTTTTTTTTTTTATCCTCACCCGAGGACATTTTGCGATATTTTGTTCAGATAGAATGAGAGGGAGAGAGAGAGAGAGAAACATCGACGTGAAAGCGACACATCGAGTGGTTGCCACCCACACGACCTGACCAGGGCTGGGGGCAAACTGCAACCAAAGTATGTGCCCTTAGCGGGAACCGAACCCGGGTCTCTCCGGACTGCAGGCCAACGCTCTAACCGCTGAGCCAAACCGGCCAGGGCAGGAGAGGATTTTTTTATAAAATTATTGAAAAAATATCCTTGAGTGAGGATTAACAAAATAATAATAATAATAATAATAATAATAAATAAATAAAGAGGCTGGCTGGTGTGGCTCAGTGGTTGAGCATCGACCCTGCACCAAGAGGTCCCTGATTAGATTCCCAGTCAGGGCACATGCCCAGTTTGTGGGCCAAATCCCCAATGAGGGGCGTGCTGGAGGCGGCCAAATGATATCTCTCTCATCAATGTTTCTATCTTTCTCTCCCTCTCCCTTCCTCTCTCTCTAAAAATCAATAAAGGAAAAAAATTTTTTTAAATAAAATAAAAGTAAAAAAAGATACCACTACACATACCATTTCATAATTTGTTTTCACATAGTAGAGAAGATATTTTCTAACATTCATAGTGACCATTTGAATAGCTAGGATAATCTATGTACTAACGCCTCGTAGTTGAATAATCTAAATTACCTCCAGTTTCTCACTAATACAGACAACTTAGTAGTTAAATCTTGACAAAAGATTTAATTATTTCCTGAGGATAATCCTATTAGTGGGATTGCTTGAGTAAAGCAATAATCATTTTAAGATTCTTTATTCTTTTTTGTTTTGATTTGTTAATCTTCACCAGAGGACATTTTTCCCACTGATTTTAGATTGAGTGGAAAGGAGGAAGGGGGAGAGAGAGAGAATCAATTTGAGACACATCTATTGGTTGCCTCCTGCACAAAAGAGGTCGGGGTCGAACCTGCAACCCAAGTACATGCCCTTGCCCAGGAATCGAACCCAAGATCCTTCAGTTCGAGGGCCCATGCTATAACCGCTGAGCAAACTGGCCAGGGCAGGTTTTTGATTGTTACTGATAAATCACTCTTCAGAAAGTAACAGAAATAGCCCTGGCCAGTTTGGCTCAGTGGTTAGAGTCGGCCTGCAGACCAATTAGTCACAGGTTCAGTTTCCAGTCAAGGGCACGTACCTCAGTTGTGGTTCGTCCCAGGCCCTGATCAGGTTGTGCGGGAAGCAACCAGTCGACGTGGCTCTATCATGTCAATGTTTCTCTCTTTCTCTCTCTCTCCCCCCCCCCTCTGTCCCTCTCTCTATCTCCTTCCCTCCCACTCTATCTAATGATAAACAGAAAAATATCCTTAGGTGAGGAATAAAAAAATTTTTAAAAAAGTAACAGAAATACATATTCTTACCAGCAGTGTGGGCTCATGCATGTAAGTACGCACCTCCACAAAATACTGATAATTCTTTTTCATCTTCTGAAATTTGATAGAGCCCAGCCAGTGTGGCTCAGTGGTTGAGCGTTGACCCTGCACCAAGAGGTCACTGGTTCAATTCCCGGTCAGGGCACATGCCCAGGTTGTAGGCCTGATCCCCAGTGGGGGGCATGCAGGAGGCAGCCAATCGATGTTCTCTCTCATCAATGTTTCTATCTCTCTCTTTTTTTGTCTTTCTCTAAAATCAATTAAAAAAAATTTTTTTTAACTGAAATTTGATAGAAAGCTTTTAAATTTGCATTTCTTATACTTTCTGTATGTTTCTAAAATGCCTATTTTTCTACTGGAGTGTTCCTGCTTCTCTGTGTGTGTTTACGCTTCTCTCGCTGGTTCATGACGGCTCTGTCACGGCTGCAGACATTTCCCCGCCGTTTTAACATCCGAAGGTTGTTTTAAGGAGTGAAGTGTGACATGTCAGGGAAACAAAGAGCATTCTTTTCCCATATTGTTCGACCTGCTAGAAAGGCTTTTCTCTGCCCAATCAATGTCTTTGATTATTATTATTATTATTTTTTATCCTCCCCTGAGGACATTTGTCCATTTTTTGCTCAGATAGAGGAAGAGAGAGAGAAACATCGAGTGGCTGCCACCCGCACAACCAACCAGGGCCGGGGACAAACTGCAACCGAGGTACATGCCCTTAGCGGGAACCGAACCCGGGTCTCTCCGGACCGCAGGCTGGCGCTCTAACCGCTGAGCCAAACCGGCCAGGGCTGTCTTTGATTATGTTTATGGTTTCATTTTTACATTTACTCTATGTGGAATTTTAGTATCAGACAGGAAGTACGAATCTCTATTTTTCTACACGGTCTCTTCCATAGTATTCCACATTCCCATATGGAAATGCTGTTACTACTCCAACGTTTTCAAATAAATTCACAATAGGTTTCAGCATTTCTTAGAGAAAGTCCTTCTCCTTTTTAAAAATCCTCTTGCCTAGTCTAACATTTATTCTTCCAGATGAATTTTAGGATCATTTTGTCAAGACCAGAAAATAAATTTATGAAAAGTCCACTGAAAGTTTCTAGAATCACATGAAACATGCATTCAGTTGTGGAATTAAGTGCTTTCTAGATGAGCAAGAACCTTCTGCACACAACATCCATCACAGCATCGATGGGAGAAAGGTCGTGACTAAATAATAAACGAAATACTGGCCCAGACGAATTACTTGAGACCTGAACATTCTTCTTCCTTTCTCTTTGCCTCTGGCTTCCTGATACCCAGAACCTCCTGCTGCTCCCTAGCTGCCCGGGGACCATCACCTAGATCTGCTTCCCTACAGCACCTACATGCCTTCGGTGGTGGTGTTTAAATCTCTTCATTTTGTTTTTCTTTGTTTGCCTTACCTTTTTGGCTGCAGCCTTCTTTCTCCCCATCCAAACCTGACAGTCCAATACCTACAACTCCTGAACCCCACCAAGTAACCGACTAGCTCCATGCTGACAAGTATGCGGCCCTGATTATGCTAGTGCCTCATCTCACAGACGGAGAAGTTGAGGCAAAGCTTGTTTAACTGCCTAGGAAGGCCCTCCTGAAGCTGGTTAAGAACAAGACAGCCAGAGAGCAGGGTTCAGTAATGGAGCCTCCTCAGGGCTGGACGAACCGTCCCTACCCGCGTGAAGGTCCTCAACCTCCCTTTTCCTGACTCCACACTCACCAAATAAACCAAAATGGCTTTCTAGGCCCCAAGAGCAGGAAGAAAACATCCTGAAGGGCTCGCTGGAAGTAGTAAATGTCATCATAAACGGTGAAACACCATTTCCGTGAGCTTTAGCTTGAGTCCTTCCCTTCTGGGGACTCTGACAAGTAAGTTTTTAGACCAGCAAAGCTCAAGGCCAGACCTTTGGCTGTGGTGACCTCCCATCTTGCTGCAGGACAGTCAAGCTATATCCTTTTTAATTATAACACGTAGTCCAGTTTATAATTATGAATGTGTTCCGGAAACATAAGAAACGCACACAAAAGCCTGATAAAACAGTTTAATGATACACTATGCGTGCGAGGCTCAGACTACCACAGCCACAGGCCCTTCCTGAAGCGGCCACAGGAATTCCCAGCTAAAAGTGGGCATGCTCCGCCCCCTCCAGCCCAGCGGAGGAGGCCAAGATGCACACCCTAGCCTAAGCCAACCTACGGGCCAGCATAATTACCCAAACGCACTGGGCCAGCGGCTACGAGGGGTTACTGAGAGGGTGGCCCCAGAAGGCTAACCCTACCCGACAGCGAGAACCTCGGACTCTCTCCTGGGAGACGAAGCTGGAAGCAGAGCGAAGCACGACCCACATCAGGCCCCTCGGAAGTGGAGGCCTTGGTGGCCTGTCCGGAAGGAGCCACACGGCAGCCACCGTGGGCGTCTCTGGCCCTGCCTGCCACACAGTTTGGGCTCCAGTACCAGCTGGGTCACGCGCTCGCTGTTTGACCTTGGGTACATAACGTCTCTACGTCTCAATTTTATCTGCTACGAAACGGAGATAAGGAGAGACCATATCTACAGGCTATATCGTACATGTTATATGATGCTCAGAACCGTCATGAGAGTAAAATAAAACCCACAGAGAGGTTTAGCCAGGAAGAACCCCCAACAGGTGAGTGTGACTGTTCTCACAAAGGACTGGGTCACCGGAGCTCAGCTCCAATCTGAGGGATAAGGGCCCGTGTGCTCTCACTTTCCCATGTGAACTCCCGTCTCCTGAGCTCTCTGCAGCCCCTCACGCTCCCTCACACACCCACTGGGCGGGCTGTGGGACCACCCCCCACCCCCCACCCCACAGAGCTGTTTCCTGAGAAGACTCGTGATTTCCGAGCGGTAAACCTGGGAGAATGAAAATACCAGGGTACTGTCATCCAGTTACCGGGGGAAAGGGAGAGGCAAAGGCTGACGTCGTTCCTGGACAGTTAGTTCTTGCAATTCAGATACGGAAATACTCACTGAACGCGTCTACCGCCTTCGTCATGTTGTTCTGGGCAGGCCTGGTGAGGGAATAAGAAAATAAACAAAAGTTTTTATCCCCTGAAAATTGAAAAGAGAACCAAAATACTATCACATTGTCACTGACACTGTCCTCTACGTGGTCTGGCGAAGATTTCCCGTGCCCCCTGGTGCTCCTTGCTCCAGCAGTCACTCATGGCCCATGTCCTTGCTGCCGAGCATGCGGTCAGAGGCCACCTGGGTGGCCGTATTAACAATGGAACACAATTCTTCCATACCCATTTTACTGAACATATTCATGTATGTGTTTTTCAGATATGACAGCTCAGGCAGGACAGAAATCTCTTCTACCCTGCTATTTTCACCCCATAAAAACTATTTGTGAGAATTCAAGTTCTCCTACTATGGAAAAAGTAAGTTCTTCAGTGTTAAAACTCTTCAAAAGCAACACCACCATCTGTGGTTCACGGTTGGGTGCAGTATAATCTATTGATTAAAAATGTGGGCTTCCGCCCTGGCCTGTGTGGCACAGAGGTTAGAGCGTCACCCTGCACACTGAAGGGTTTCGGGTTCGGTTCCCGGTCAAGGACATGTACCTGGGTTGAAGTTCAATCCCCACCTTGGTTGGGGTGCGTGCAAGAGGCAACCAATCGATGTGTCTCTCTCACATCAATGTTTCTCTCTCTCCTCCCTCCCTCCGTCCGTTTCACTCTCTCTTAAAAATAAAATAAAATAAATAGATAAAATATCCTCAGGTGAGGATTAACGACAACAAAAATATGTGTGCTTCAGAGTCTGGAGTCCTGCCTTGTCACTTATCAATTATATGGTTTTAGACAAATTACTTCATTTCTGTCTCATTTCCTCATTTATAAACTAGGGACACTACTGCTCACCTGTGAGAATTACATGAGCTAATGTAAGTGTAGTTGTTCATTATGATTATGTAAGAAAGTTTTTAAAAGATTACATTTCTCATCCTACCAGCCAACAGAGTAATACCTACTTCTCCTATACTTTTAAATGATATTGTTTACAAAAAAGAAAAAAAAACTAATGAAGACCTATTTACTTATTTTTTAAAGAATAGTTTATTGACTTTTAGAGAAAGAGAAAGGGAGGAGAGAGAAACATGGATGCAAGAGCACCACCAGCTGCCCCCACGTGATCCCCGCAGCACCCGAACCCAGGCATGTGCCCTGGACAGGGAACTGAACCCCTCCTGGTGCACAGGACAATGCTCAGCCCACTGAGCCACACCAGCCAGAGCAGATCTAGTTGATTTTAATAAATAAATGACAGATACAAAAAAGGTAGCATGTTCTAACCAACAGGAAAACATTTTTTCCTCACCATAAAAACCTTCACGCCTCCCCTCCCTGGCTGGCGTGGCTCAGTTGGTTAGAGGGTCATTCATGCACAGAAAGGTCTCAGGTCCAAATCCAAGTCAGGGCACATCCCCAGGTTTCCGGTTCAATCCCCGGTCAGGGCATGTACAAGAAACAACCAATCAATGTTTCTCTCTCTCTCCCCCCCTCTCCTTTCCTCTCTCTAGAATCAATGAAAAACGTGTCCTTGGGTGAGGATTAAAAATAAATAAATAAATAAATAATTCATGCCTTCCCTGAAAGCAAATACTATTTCAACTCAATTTAATCAATATACCCTCAGCTGGTAGCTGGACAGAATCAGATGCAGGGTTCTAATATTCATACTTCACACCTCAAATAAGCAGGGACTGCCTTATACTCTGCAGCCCATTAAAACACAGTCGATTCAGCTAGCACTCAGCTGCACATCACCCAGCTGAGTTCAGTGTGACATGAAAGGAAGCCATTTCTAGTACAAGAATTCCAACACAAGCTGCCCAGTCCTGTAGGAATGGGGTGGGGCAAAGCTGCCTTCTATTCCCTTTCTATTTTATTTTTTTTATCCTCACCTGAGGACATTTTTTTCCATTTCTTGTTCAGATAGAGTGGGAGGGAGAGAGAGAGAGAGAAACATCGACGTGAAAGGGACTCATCGAGTGGCTGCCACCCACGTGACCCAACCAGGGCCGGGGACAAACTGCAACCAAGGTACATGCCCTTAGCAGGAACCGAACCCGGGTCTCTCTGGACCACAGGCTGACGCTCTAACCGTTGAGCCAAACTAGCCAGAGCTGTTCCTTCTCTTTCTTCCTTCCTTTTATCTCCTTCCCTTCATTTGCTTTAAAACATTCCCCTTATATCTGCCCAGTATCAGGTATCAGGCTATGAAAAGGCCGGGCACCTCTCGACTAGATCTACTCAAATATTTTGTCAAATAAAAAGGGCCATTTCCAACTTCTTACTCATTGACTTCCACGTCCTGGTCATCGGAAGACTCGTCTTCTCCCAGGATGTTTTCAGAATCTGGTTTCCGAATGAGAAAGAAAAGAACTGTTCCCACCAGGCTAATCACTGTCAGGGCAATGAACACTGTCCTCCGGTCACCCTCTGGGGAGAAAGAAGAGAGGACACAGCCTGAGCATGCACACAAATGCAGAGTTAGCACGATGTTCGGAGCTTGTTTATAACTGTGAAAATACTTCATTAAATTACTTTATTGCGTCAGTAAAATAGGATATCTCTGCCTTTGTTTTTCAGTTAGAGAAATACTAATAAGCAAACAAAAAAACAGCACAAGAACTTAATCATATTCTTTTAATCAAAGGAGAATACAGAAGGCAAAACTATTCAAGAGTTCAAAAGTATGACAATTGCCGGACCAGTGCGGCTCAGTGGTTGAGCGTCGACTCATGAACCAGGAGGTCGCTGGTTCGATTACCGGTCAGGACACATGCCCAGATTGTGGGCTCAATTCCCAATGCGGGGCATACAGGAGACAGCCAACCGATGTTTCTAACTCTCTCTGCTTCTCCCTTCCTCTCTCTCCAAAAAAAAAAAAAAATCAATCAAGAAAAAAAAAAATGTTTTAAAGAAGTGTGACAACTGCCCTGGCTGGTTTGGCTCAGCAATCAGGGGTTCAATTCCTGGTCAAGGACACATACCTGGGTTGCAGGTTCAATCCCTGGTCCCAGTCCAGGTTGTGCTGGAGGCAACCAACTGATGTGTCTCTCTCACATCAATGTTTCTCTTTCTCTGCCTCCTTCCCTTTCACTCTAAAAATCAATGGAAAAATACCCTCGGGTGAGGACTAACAAAAGAAAAAAGCAACAGCTGACTCACATGCCCATATATATAGCACAACCTGCCCATATATATACAACCCCCACCTTGAAATGCCACTTGAAGTCATTAGCTATAATCCCAGTTTAACAATATAATCCAAGGAAAGAAGTTACTAAAAGCTAAAGAAAATTTGTTTTTTAATCCTCACCTGAGGATATTTTTTCCATTCATCTTCAGATAGAGTGGGAGGGAGGGGGAGAGTGGGAGAGGTAGAATGGGAGAGAGATGGAGGGAGAGGGAGTGAGAGGGAGAGAGAGAAACATTGATGTGAGAGGGACACATCAACTGGTTGCCTCCTGCGTGACCCTGACCAGGGCCAAGGACAAACCACAACCGAGGTTCGTGCCCTTGACTGGAATTGAACCCGAGACTCTTTGGTTCACGGGCCGACGCTATAATTGCTAAGCCAAACCGGCCTGGGCATGAAAGCTAAAATCTGAGAGTATTCAAGGTACCAAGGTCCATCAGAACACTTTTTAAACAAAGCAACAATGTGTATTTTTGTGAAACTACTATTAAATGCTTTGCATATATCTGAATAAAGCAATATGAATAAAACAAACCTGATATCTGAGTTTTCCCTTGCCAAGCAAAATATATGTAGAGGTTTCCAAAGAACAAGCTGGAGTTAAAAAAAAAAAAAAAAAGGAAAGAAATAAAGAATGTTGGGAAATTATTTTCATATTTCTAGTTTTTTAAACAATTTTTCCATTACTTGTTACAAAGAGAGAAAGAAGAAAGCATATATAATTTTAGAAGAATCTACCTGCCCTAAATCATTTAAAAATGTCATCTTCACCCTGACTCTTGAAAAATGAAACTGACCCAGATGGAGTCTGGCCTCCCTCCACGTGACAGTAACCTGATTCAGAACCGCCCTTCAAAGAAGTCTTGACTCACGTTGAAACATGTGATTTATTATTGGAACTCTGGAAATGACTCCCCGGAAACAAGCGTATGCTATTTCTAAAATCTTAAATTTCAAAAAATCTATGAAAAAAACCCACGATTTAGTTATCTGCATCTCATCAGATATTTCATTTTGCAAACTTTCCTAGAGAAGAAACCTCGCATACTGCAGTTTCTTAATATCCAACCCCTTGAGACTACACATTTGCATTTGTTAAGCCTTATCAATGCTAAAGTTTTAGGCAAGATCCATGAGGATAGATTCCATGATAGAATGACTGTGGTTGCCTTTAGGAAATATGTAACACGTTCCATTGTTCAGTGTTAGTCTCACTGTTGAATTTAAGTATGTATTTGTTAATAGCTACCTGGGCCCTGGCCAGTTTGGCTCAGCGGTTAGAGCGCTGGCCGGCAGACCAAAGAGTTTCGGGTTTAATTCCTGGTCAAGGGCATGTACCTCAGCCCGGGTCAGGGTAGCGCAGTAAGCAACCAAGCAATGTGTGTCTCTCACATCCATGTCTCTCTCTCTCTCTCTCTCTCACACGCGCGCTCCATTCGCTTCCTCCCACTCTATCTTAAAAAAAAAAAAAATCAATGGAAAAATATCCTCAAGTGAGGATTGTTAAAAAACCACCCTTTTGGTAGTGTAGCTTGGTCAGAAGGACGTGGCCTCTGGAGTCCAGATCATGATGGTTTCAATCAGATCAGTTACTTAACTTTTAAACCTGTTTTCTTTGTATGAGGTAGTAAGGATTACTGAAATTAAGTAAAGAGCCCAACAGTCCCTGAAATAGAGTCAATGCTAAATATTAGTATCTATTTACTAATCATAAGCTCCAATGCATTTGAGGTAAGTCCATGCATTTTAAGTAATTTTATAAAATGTATAATCTATAAGCAGCTAGGAACTTCAGTCATACAACATGGAAGATCTGAGTTTTCAACACAACAAAGATCTAAAAATAGGATGAGACAAAAAATGACAGGAAAGACTGTGCTCCAAAAGGATCATTACCTAGACTGTAAGAGTGCCCAGAAAATTCCACTGTTTCTCCCAATGGTGTGCTCATCTGAATTGATTGTCAGGCAGTTTCCTTGTGCTGTCCAAAGTACTAAAATTCAAACCAAAAGGTTATCAGGGGAATGAAATCGCTTAGCTTTACATACGAAACTCACAAATGCTGCTCTGAGGTAAGGCCAAGAAAACAAACATCAAAATGCTTACCAGCAGCTGCAATTCCGATGAAAACAGAGGCTGTGTAGAAGGACCATGTGAAAGGCTGGATAAAAACGGCAATGTACATGCTAAAATATAACAGGTCAACGTATTATAGTCAAACACCTGAGATGGAATGTCAATTATGCCTTCTAGGAATCAGTTCTGAGGGTTCTCTTTTAAAACTCAACCTGTAAAGGACTCCTCCCATGCTGAAAACAAAACAATAAAAAGGGACAGAGGTGACCTAGTAATTTCTTAATTTACTAGTTCAAATTTCCAAAATCAGACACTGAATGAAGGTTTGCAGATGGGCTTTGCCAGCTGCTTAGCCCATGATGGGACTTAGCCCACAATGGGACAGCGCACAAGAAAAGTTTAGATATTTCATGTGAATTCCTGTTAGTCAACTTGATATAAAATAAGATTATTTCATGGGAAGTTCTTTTCAACTCTTGTGGAAAGAGGTTTTTTGGGTACTATTTCTATTAGTAGTAAAACAATAGCAAGTGTATACACGTCCAATCACACTGAAACTACACGGTATCCCAGAGCATCAAGAAGACAGCCAGGCCCCTAAAACATCGCCTCTGTTCTATTCAACCCAATTGGCGAGTTCCTGTTAGAAGTCTACCTTGTGCCTGAAAGATGCTGAAGGGGTTCTAAGTAAAACGAATGAAAGAAAACCAGACTACTCACCTGTAAAATAACCCACTAGCAAACATAGAGAGCTGAGGTCCTACAACGGCAACCACTGATGGCGTGATCAAATTCGAAGCAGAGAACACTCCATAAATAATGGCCATGCTATACACATAACACACAAAAACAAGACAAAACTCCATCTCAAAAGTTCACTCTTTCACATTTACTTCGTCTGTAGATGTTTTGCAATAAGCATTCATACTCTTTAGTCAGCATTTATGAACACTACATCCTTAAACTGAATGCCACATTAAAGTTTTCGCTTGTACAAAATATTGAAGTCTCATCAAATGTTTCTTTGAATAAGTATGCTGTGGATGAAATTATTTTTGATGTACTGGTAAATTATAACAACTAACACATAACATGTAATAGGCTGTGCCAAGTACTTTATACATGTTTTTGCTCTTAATCCTAATAGCTCTGTGAAAAAGGTATTGTTATTGTCCTCATTTTACAAAAAAGAAAACTGAAACACAGAAGGGCTAAGTAACCTGCCCAAAGTCCACCTGGATACATGGTGAATGGTAGAGCCAGGATCCCATACCTGGTAATCTGACTCCAGAGGCCCTAGTCAACCAATCTGCTCTCCAAACAGCCTACAACTCCTGGCAACTGCATGCAAGTTCACTGCTACAAATAACAAGCACAGAGTTATAACTTGCTTAAGCCAGAGTTTATTTAGCTCAACCTAATGGTGTCATTGAACATCATTCAGCTACTATAGACCCAGCCCTACCTAGTATGTGTGTCTTGTGACAAAGTGTAACTAAAACCATTTCAAAGGTCCTGAATTCATTTACTACTTAAAAAGGTCAAAGCAAACTATTCTTAGGCTTTTATGAATCTCCCAAATATCAAATGTCCCTTCACTTGTTCTTTAGAATATGCATGAATACAAAGCACTATAGAAAGTTGTAGTAATCCTTTAGAAAATGGACATAAACATCCCTTTATCCCCAAATACTGTGTACAAAGTCAGGCTTAGAATAGGTAATAACCAAACAAGACTTTGATAGGGTGGCGGTGGGGAAAGATGACACAGGGGACTGGTGTTGGCTACAATATAATACCTAACTATGGAGAAATTAAGAACCTATCCGTGCTTAGACACATGCAAATATTACAGCCCCAGCTCCAGGCACAGTGTACTAGTGACTTATGAAGGTCTTTCCACTTCATTTTCTCCACGTGCAAAACTGGGACTAACCACCTCAATAAAAATCTAACAGCTCCCAATGACAGCATATGAATCATTATGAAATTACAAAAACAGACAGACCAAATGTTTCAAGAGTCATATATAACATCCTCTGTTTAAGACTGGGTAACATGACAACACTAGAGTGTTTACTAAGTGCCAGATACTGTGCCCAACACTTGACAGGTATTAGGTGAGCAAGGAGACGGACTAAGATAATCAAAGCCACTTGCCTAAGATAATGCAGCAATTAAGTTGTGAAGCCAGGAGTTCAAACCCGGTGTCTCATTCTACATGAAACCTAAACTCATCACCTTTATTCTGTTACGTTCTCCCAAACAGTCTAGATACAGAGAATAAAAAAGCAGTACTACTAACTTACAGTATTTTACTGACTGTGCTTTTGATGGAGACTTAAGCAACCACTGTCACATATAAAGTAAAACCAACTGTACAGTTCCATACCTGGTGTATCCACTGCCATGAAAATCGGTGCTATTTAAGCTCCTGATGACAGTTTGCTGTGTGGAAGACAAATCTAATCAACAAAACGAAACGTTTTTGCAATCCCTACATCCCCCCCCAAAGCTCTCCAAGTACCGAGAATAAAGCAAAAATTGTAGATAATCAATACTTAATCCTGAAAGTGACTATGAGTGAAGAAAAAGGATTACAGAACAGGAAAGAAATGACAGGGAAGGGGTGGGGGGACGGGGGCTGCTGAAACTATGCCTTAACTCTCCAAGTATAATCTGGACCTTAAACACAGACAAGAAATAAAATAAATAGGTCAACACACAAACCCCAAACCAAATCAGAGAAATAAAGTCAATGTTTCACATCCCCATGTGTTCAGAAGAAATGTCTGATACACGAAATCAAACCTAATCAAAACAAACAAAAACAAAACCAGAAAAACGAGGAAGGCAGAGAAAATAACAGGCGCGGTTTAAGCGCGCTGTTACATGTAATTAATGTGTATTGTCACTTTCGGGAGGCATTAGGAGAGGCACTTCAAAGGGGGGACAGCAGATCCCGACTCACCGCCACATTTCCACAAGTTTGAAAGGCGGTGAACATAAACATAAAGGCAATTCCTAAAATGATGATGTTGAAAAGCTTTTTGGATTCCGGGGACATTTTGGCTCCGCTCTGCCGGAGGTCAGCAGCAGCCCAGGGCGGTCAGCTCTCCTCCGGGCCAACCCACTGCCAGTCCTGGGCAATGAAGAGATGGGCAGAGGAGGCAGATCCGGGAGCCAGGGAGCCAGGCTGCCAACTTCCAGTTCTTGGGTCGGGATCCCGGGCTCGGGTGAAGCTCCCCCGCGGGCGCGGCCAGGGCCTTCCTGGGGTACGGTCCGAGAAAGGAAGAGCCCAGCACCCGCAGAAGCGCCAAGAACGCTGCCGCCCCGGGTGGAGGGGCCCGGCACGGGGGTCGGAGCCAAGGGCGAGCTGCAGAGCCCGGCGCGGCCCCGCCCGCCCGGCCCTGACTCAGTGCTGGTCAGGCGACCCGGTCACCTGACTGCAAACGTGGCGCCGGCCGCACAGCCCGCTGGGAAATGCAGTCCCGCGCGGCCGAAGACCTGGAGGCGCGTTCGGGGAGCTCCGTCGCCCCGAGGGGAGCAGGGCCGAGCCCGCGGGGGCTGGCGAAGGAGGCCTGAAAGGGGAATCCAGCGAAAGACTGGGGGATTGCGGGAGGCGACCTGGGGACCACATAGCGGGGTCGGAGGCGGCTAGGGACACAGAGACGCCAACAGGGGACGGAGTTTGTCCTCCGACGGCGGCGGGGCTGAGGTCCCAGGCGAACAGCTGCGTGGAACTCGGCTACAGGCATGGAAAAGAAGGCGGAGCCCAGAAGGGGAGCACCTCCTCTTCCTCCTGCCCGAGAGCACCCCGCCGGAAGAAGCGTTTCGCGGGCTTTCCAACTGCCGGCAAATGCCGCTCGCCCCTCCCAGCCGCAGTGACTCCGCGCTTTTCCCAGCTCTGCGCAGGCGCCCCGGGTAGGGGCGGGGCACGCGGCGGGGACGTTGCGGAATTAGCCAATCAGAGTATTGATTTCTGGGTGGCGCGGGCGCCATTTTGTGAGGGGGAATATAAATGGGCGCTGGGGCAGGACACTCGTCCAGTTGCTTCTGTATCGCGGAGGACGGTTGTTCGGTTCGTCTGGTGGGCTTTCGGAACCCTTTCCACGCGGAAGCCAAGTGTTCAAGGAGAGGCGCGGCGCGGAGCCGAGCTAGTCCGAAGAGACCGCCGCCGCCTCGGCCGAACGCGCGGGCCCGCCCAGGGCGTTAGTTTTCCGGCGCGCAGTCGCAGGGCCCGGCCGACTCCCCAGGGCCATGAGTTACGGCCGCCCGCCTCCCGATGTGGAGGGCATGACCTCCCTCAAGGTGGACAACCTGACCTACCGCACCTCGCCCGACACCCTGCGGCGCGTCTTCGAGAAGTACGGCCGCGTCGGCGACGTGTACATCCCGCGGGACCGCTACACCAAGGAGTCCCGCGGCTTCGCCTTCGTCCGCTTCCACGACAAGCGCGACGCGGAGGACGCCATGGACGCCATGGACGGGGCCGTGCTGGATGGCCGCGAGCTGCGCGTGCAGATGGCGCGCTACGGCCGTCCCCCGGACTCGCACCACAGCCGCCGGGGACCGCCACCCCGCAGGTACGGGGGTGGCGGCTACGGACGCCGGAGCCGCAGGTAAACGGGGAGGGGCCCCGGGGTGGCGCACAAAGGTCCGCGAGGCACGTGGTGGCGGGCTGCCCGGGGCCGAGCCGCCCCGGCTCGCGACGGGGAAATGGCGGCGCGGCGAGATAATGGCGGGCGGGCGGGGCGCGGCCGGATCGCGGGTCCTGACGCCCTGCTCGCTTCCGCCCGCAGCCCCAGGCGGCGTCGCCGCAGCCGGTCCCGGAGCCGCAGCCGCTCCCGGTCCCGGAGCCGATCTCGGTACAGCCGCTCCAAGTCTCGGTCTCGCACTCGCTCAAGATCGCGGTCAACGTCCAAGTCCAGGTCGGCGCGAAGGTCCAAGTCCAAGTCCTCCTCGGTGTCCAGATCTCGCTCGCGGTCCAGGTCCAGGTCTAGGTCCAGGAGTCCTCCTCCCGTGTCCAAGAGGGAGTCCAAGTCCAGGTCGCGATCCAAGAGCCCCCCCAAGTCTCCCGAAGAGGAAGGAGCCGTGTCCTCTTAAGCAAACGGTAATGTCCACGGGGACCCGAGACGCACGACCTGAGTTCAGAATGGGGTTTGGAGTAGTCTCTGGTCCGTACTAGTAGGAAGGCGACTCCTGATGTCGGGAGTGCAGTTCTGAGCTAACTCGGCTTTGGGAGTGATACTGAAGAGGGGTCTGCAGGAAGGATGTGTGTAAAGCTTAGATAATAATGGCTGTTTCGTAAACTGTTTGAGACCTATTAATGAAAATGACTATTTCTTGCTGTTTTTATCCAACGTCTGCATTTTCCCCTTTAAAGCTGCGGTCTCCTGTTTGCTAAAAGAATATTGGCCAGTATTGCAGATTTTAACTGATTTGGCTGATCCTCCAGGGACCAGTTTCTGTGGGCGTGTATTGGAGCAGGTTTGTCTTTAAATGTTAAAGATGCACTATCCTCTTAGAGAAAACAATCAGTTCAACTATTGTTGTACTGACTGGGACTTCACTATTCTAATGGATGTGGCAAACGAATTGCAAAAAGAAGCAATGCACTTTTGGAACCCAAAAAAAGTTTGCAGGTATTGCTCTGGGTGGGGAAAGGATAGTGTGTCTTTAACTCTCAAATTGTTTGGTCCTATTTTTTAAAAGGAAGGGCCCTAAGTAGCTCAGATATTAAACCATCATTCTCAATTGCCAAATGTTTTGTTTGAAAACTAAATTTATTTAATCTCAAAATATAGGCTAATTTTCTGATTTCAAGTTGGTTTTGTTTGGATATTTGGATACAGCCCTCTGTTTTTTGGTTTTTGTTTTGTTTCCCTCCTTCCCCCTTTTTTTTTCACCCCCTTTACCATTTCTCACCCTGGTTATTTGGCCAAGAATGCACAAATTTGTAAATGCTGATGTGAAAATTTCCTAATTTGGGCCTTTAAAAATTTGTGAGAACGGCTAGGTGGAACCTTTCTGTAACCTACTTGTTTCACCAGAGCCTTAGTAAGTACATGCCTGAAATTGAAACCATGTGCGCTTTGGGTGACTTCATAGTAGTGGAAGGTAGACTGAACTTAATTTCTTTTCAAACCTAGATGTGTCGACAAGCAACATAACAGAAAACTTTGGGGAAAAGGACCACATGCCCAGTCCATCAAAGAGTCCTTGGAACAAGCAACTGGCTATTGAAAAGGTTATTTTGTAACATTTTGTCTAACTTTTTACTTGTTTTAAGCTTTGCCTCAGGTGGCAAACTTCATTTTATGTGCCATTTTGTTGCTGTTATTCAAATTTCTTGTAATTTAGTGAGGTGAACGACTTCAGATTTCATTATTGGCTTGGATATTTGAGGTAAAATTTCCTTTTTGTTTATATAGTGCTGACTTTTTTTGTTTGAAATTAAACAGATTGGTAACCTAATTTGTGGCCTCCTGACTTTTAAGGAAACGTGCAGCCATTACGCACAGCCTAAAGCTGTCGAGAGATTGACTCAACATTGCCTTCATTCCTTAGAATTAAAAACCTACAAAAGTTGGTGTAAATTTGTGTATGTTATTTACCTTCAGATCTAAGTGGTAATCTGAACCCAAATTTGTATAAAGACTTTTCAGGTGAAAAGACTTGATTTTTTTTTTTTTTTTTTTAAAGGATTGTTTACCAAACACAATTCTAATCTCTTCTCTTATGTATTTTTGTGCACTAGGCGCAGTTGTGTAGCAGTTGAGTAATGCTGGTTAGCTGTTAAGGTGGCGTGTTGCAGTGCAGAGTGCTTGGCTGTTTCCTGTTTTCTCCCGATTGCTCCTGTGTAAAGATGCCTTGTCGTGCAGAAACAAATGGCTGTCCAGTTTATTAGAATGCCTGACAGCTGCACTTCCAGTCACCCGGGCCTTGCATGTAGATAACGGAGCATACAGTGAGCACACTAGCTGGTGATAAATACACCTTTTTTTTTCTACCCCCACTCCACCAAATGGTAAAAACGATCATCTTCATGTATGAACTTAAAATACGAAAAAATGTTAAGGAAGCAAATGGCTTGTAACTTTGTAAGTACTTAAAAACATGGTGTATCTTTTTTGCTCATAAATATTCTGTACTATAACCATTGTTTCTGTAGTTTAATTAAAATGTTTTCTTGGTGTTAGCCTTTCTCAGAATATGTCTCAGTCATTTTTTTCTCCCTTTATTTGAAAGACCTGTGCAATGTTCTTGTGAATGTTACTGACTGTAGTATGAAAGTAAAATGTTTAGCTGACTTTTTTAAAGTGGAAATGCCAGTTCAGCACCCACTGTCCCTAACACTGATGCTCTGAGGTGGCACTTTCTTGAGGTTGTAGGTGCTCCTTTCTCATAACCTGATTTATGCCCCATTTTAATGACTTAGGAACAATCTGAGTCCTTTTCTTAATAGGTGTTTTAATTTTTGTCTTGATGGCTATGTAACCCATGAATATTGTCTAGGTGGGCCGTCACAGTCTTAAGGCTGAGAGATTTGATCATCTTCAAATCCACCACTTACACTCTCACTGAAGTGGTCTGGATCCTAATTGGCATGCCAGGTTGCTAATCAGCATTGACATTGTCCCAAAACAGCTTGTAGGTGTAATTCAGAGACTGTCCTTTGCAAAGGAGATGACCAGCATTTCAACAGTATGTCTTCCTGGAAGGGCAGATTCTGCTATATCTTCCTTGTCTGCATCAAAAGACACCAGAGGAATGTGGACACATTTCATATCCCACTTGTAGAGCAAAGCTTCAAGTGACCAGTCAGCACTGAAAAAAATAAATTGTTTTTTTAAATTGTGATTTCCTTGTTTTCCTTTAGGTATGTTTTCTGTTTTACCCTTTGGTGTTACATTATTAAGGCTTAATTTAACTTGATAAAATTGAGTAGACCAGGATTCGTTAGGCTTACCTTCTCACCTGGTAAGTAGACCACAATTGGACCTTGGGATTCTTCTGCATCAAAAAGTATACTGTAGTTAAAATGTCTTCAAAATCTGGGAAGAAAAGGCTTATTAATAGGCTTCTTAATATTGGATCTCTGGGCAAATTTACTATTAAGCAAAAAAAAAAAAAGTTACCTTCTGGTTCAAAGAATACATCGGATGCAAGAATAATATCTTGTGGTGGCAAAGCCAGAAGGTCCAGAGATATGTGACCCCACGTTAGTCCTATGACACGCACCTGTGGCAGGTTATTCATTTGGCAGCTTTGCTGACAGATTTCTAGACAGTGAGGCAGCTCTGAACTGTCTGACAGTATTACTTCAGCACCACATTTTGCAGCTATAATTCCTGGAAGGCTTGCTCCAGCTCCAATCTAGTAAATTTAAAAGATGACATTTTAAAGTTGCTGCCTAGAACTGCAAAGAATCTGGGTTTTAGCAGATAGTTCCCCTTTGATTCTTGTGGTACAAGGTCAACATGAATTTTCTTGAGCTCGTGTCTAGACAACATTGCCTTAACCTGTACGGAGCTTGGGCTTTGAATTTATGATGAGTTCTTGTGAATTCCTCTTAATTGGGTCAAAGTGCAGTTATAGTCCTATACAAAGCCCTGTATTCTGCAATATACCCAGAGAAGTAGTCTTGGGACACTTGCTGTCATCTAGTTCTTATAAAGGAGTTAATCATAGGACATGCAGATCTCTAGACACTCAGTGGAGGACTTAAATGCACAGCCAGTTCTACTGATTTTAATTGCTTTCATGTTAATAAAGCCTGGTCTAGAACGTGTTTTCTACAAAAGGGCTTTTTCCAACTGAACCACGCTAGCTGAACAGGATTCTTGGCAGTGTTGTTCAGTGACTGAACATCGACCCATGCACCAAGGGGTCACCAATTTGATTCCCAGTAAGGGCACATGCCCAGGTTGTGAGCCAGATCCCTGAGGGGTGGGGGGGATGGACAAGAGGAGACAGCCAATCAATGTTTCTCCCTCTCTAAAATCAATAAAGAAAAACTTAAATAATACCAAGGAATGCCTTTGATTACCACTGAAACAAAAGCTTACGTTTTCCAGTTTGAGGATGGGCTTTAATCTTTCCTGAATACCTAACAATTACAGTCGGCCCTCATTTATCAGTTCCAGACTCTACCGTGATAGATGAATTTTCGCGAAGTAAGATTTTTTATACACAGTAGTCCCCTTGCCACTTTGCACTTAGACTTGCACGGCTAAAAAGGCGAAGCGCGAAGTAGCGAGGGGACGACTGTACCACTCTGAGAACAGAAGTATGCCAAATGCCTTCCCTACCCTTCATTTCTAAGTTTTGAAAAAAGGTGTTCTTAAGCTTCTAATTTATGTTTAGCCTTCAGGTTTAAGCATAGCATTGTTTCTATAAACTTGACAAAATACTTCCCCAAGCCTCCAGCAGTCTCAAGTCACATAGAGTGATGAGAAAGAGCCTGGGATACATTTCAAATCTGATCTCAAGATTTCTGAAAATGTGTAAAGGCTACTTTGTGAGAAAGACCACAAGTGTTAGAGCCCAAATGACCCTGTTGGGACACCCTAGGGAGATGGCCTTCACAACTGCTTCTTGCCAAATTAGTCCATGGGCTTCATTTAGAATAAGGGTTGGCAAGAAACTAAGTGGCCATGCAGTAAATATTTTAGTCTTGGTGGGCAGCATTCTTTTTTTTTAACACTTTACAAATGTCATTCTCAGCTCACATGACCTTACAAGCTGGCCAAATTACCCCTATTTTAAAATCGTGGGGTACGGCCAGGCCGGTGTATGGCAACCCATGCACCAAGAGGCTGCTGGCTTGATTCCTGGTCAGGGCACTTGTGGGCCAAATCCCCAGTGGAGGGCATGCAGGAGGCAGCCAATCAGTATTCTCTCTTACCAATGTTTCTCCCTTCCTCTCTCTAAAATAAAATAAATTTAAAAAAAATTTAAATAGTGTGGTGCAAAAGTAGATTTATTGTTCATATGGAAAATAATACAAGAATAAACTCCACCCTGGCCGGTTTTGCTCAGTGGTTAAAGCATCAACCTGCAGACCAGAGAGTCCAAAGTTCAGTTCCCGCTAAGGGCAGGTACTTTGGTTGCAGTTTGTTCCGAGCCCCAGTTGGGGTCATGTGGGTGGCAGCCACTCAATGTGTCTCTCTCACATGGCTGTTTTTCTCTCATTTCCTCCCTCCAGCTCTATCTGAAGATAAATGCAAAACAAATAAACTCCTATACAACTGTAAACCTACTTTTGCACACCCTATATCGAACAAAAGTCAGTAGCAAGCATGGAGAGTTCAATCAAGGGTTTTCGAAAGCTGAGGACACGTGTACCTCTAAAATAGCCTTGCCCGGTAGAGATCTTCTGTGAAACCACAGGTACTGAGCCAAGACCACAGCACAGGGCCAAACATACATTCCATACTGAAGATGCAGGACCTGAAAAGAATTTTTGTACACCATGAAGAACTCATCTACTGGAAGTCGGAATACTTACACAGCAATTAATGAGTGCCTGGCTCTGGCAGCCATTACAAAAATAACAGTTCCCTGCTCTCCAATTCACACCCATGAGGGAATATAAAACTGCGATACCATGTGGTAAGCAAACTTCAAACATTCATTCATTCATTCATTCACTCATTCATTCACCAAGCATTTATTTAGGGACTCAGTGGCTTAACAGCTATTCTAAGCTGAGGATGTAACTCTCACGGAGTATATATACTCTACTGGGAAGAGACAGACAACAAATCAATGAAGACATTTTTAGTTTGTGATAATGCTATAAACACAGTGAAAATGGCGGGGAGTGGGGGAAACCATGACCACAAGGTGGCTGCACTAGATAGGGAAAGAGGATGATTCAGACAAAGGCCCTGAAGCAGTACTGATGCCTTTTGCTGGACAACACAGAGCACGGGCATAGGGGTTGGAGGCAGGGTTGTGCAGTGAAAGCAGAGGTCACCGGGAAGGCAGGGGGCAAACCTGTGCAGTGTTTTGGGCCACAGGAAGTTTAGCTTTTATTTTTTAGCTTTAATTTTAAATGCAAGAAGACATTGAAGGTTTTTTTTTCTTTATTGATTTTTAGAGAGAGGGAGAGGGACACAGAAACATCGATGAGAGAGAACATCAGTTGGCCACCTCCAACATGTACCCCACAACCTAGGCATGTGCCCTGACCGGGAATTGAACAGGTGACTTCTTGGTGCATGGGTCGACACTCAACCACTGAGCCACGTCGGCCAGACAATATTGGAGGATTGTAAGCACAGGCATGATTTGGTATGCTAATAGGAAACAATGTGGTCCTAGGAAGACATCCTAGATGTTTGAATGAACCTGAATCCTGAAGGAGTTAGGAAGGTAGGCAGTTTACAAAGCCTTTGGAAAAGACATAGAACTGTGAAAGCATAGTATTTAGCAAGGCAAGATAGCTGCTCAAAAACTCTGGAATGAGCCTGCCCAAGTTCCAACTCCAGACCTGGAAGTTACTAGCTGTGTGACCTCACTCAAGTTATTTAAGTCTGTGCTCAGTTTCCTTAACTGCAAACTACTACCTCATAGGGTGATTAGAAGGATTCGATGCCAGCTACTTAGTACAATGCCAGACAAAATAAGCACACAAAAGTTAACTATTATTAAACTGCAAATCCGCAGGTCTTTTCTAGAGCAAAGGGTGCCCCTATTGCTGTGGTAGAAAAGGGGCTGAAATTCAATAAAAGAAACAAAGTTGAAGGAACTCAAGCCTGAACTTAATCCAATCAACAAAAATATTAGTGCCTGTATTATTATATGTACTGTTCTAACTGTAAGGGGTGCAGCGTGAATAAAAGAAACAAAAACGCCTGCCCTGATAGATTTTACTCAGGATAATGAGGGATTTCTGACCAGAGTGAGCTGTGCAGATTTTGGTGTAAAGGGGGCTTTTATTCTCACAGGAATTTGGGGAGAAATCCAAATGGGTATTTCAACGCGAAGGCATTAGAAACTATCAGAAATGGGTCCCACTTAAGTTGTTTTTCATCTTTAAACTGTTACTATTAATAAGTACGTCACAGACTGCTATTAAAATTAAATGAAACACTGCAACGTGCACGTGCTTTGAAAAACCAGATGCATAAAAGGTACAATAATGAAATTTGGGGGCAGCGGTGGGCTGAAAGGAAGTGTCTGGCAACCCCAAAACTGTATTTGGATAATGAGGGTTGGGACCGGGAAGCCTTTCAACAAGATCAAAGAAAATAATGTCAAGAATGCCACTTTTTTTTGCCCTGACCGGTTTGGCTCAGCGGTTGGAGCGGCGGCCTGCGGACCAGAGTCCCGGTTCGGTTCTGGTAGGGGCACGTACCAAAAAAAGAACGCCACTTTTCTAGCAGGGCCCCCAGATTCCTAACTGAAAGACACGTTATATGACCAAGGCTTTACACCAAACCTTTCGCTCTGTGGTCCAGCCTAAGGCAGGAAGCCGGACCCCATCCCCTCTCTAACCCCCCACCCCCAGGGGGCTGAGAATCGCCGCTGAGCCAGGGCGCAAAGGACCAGACGCTTCGGAGCGGGTGCAGCGGCACGCACCTGCGGGACGCGGACCTCCAGCATGGCCCCCTCCTCTCCCAGCCCCGGCTCCTCCGAGAACCGAAAGCGCTGGGCCCGGAACCCATGCCCTTGGCCGCCACGGCCGCCCAGAGGAGCAGCGGTGGCCCCCTGCAGGGCCAGCAGCGGTGGAGGGCGCCCGGCAGCCAGGCTGCGCGCGCTCCCGGCCCCCGGGCCGGCTGGGGCCACGTCCCCGGAGCCACGTGCACCCGCCGGTCCAGTCGGGTCCTTGAAACCCTACAGCAAGAAGGGGGAAGCGCCTTTCGAGCGACGAAGCGGCAGCCCGGCGGGGAGAACAGACCCGACACCAGGCCACTGCGAGACAGAGAACCGGCGGCCCGCGCGGCACCCGGCGGAAGTCGGCGGCGGAAATGCGGCGCTGTCGGAAGTGACGCAACCGGAAGCAGGCGTGGGAGCGAGGGCCGCCGCGAGGCGCTGCTTGGCGGGCCGACCTTCCCAACATGGCAGAAAGCCGGCGTCTGTGAAGGAGGACCCTGGAGGCGCCCAGGCCAATGGCCGGCCGCGAAGGGCCGGGGGGCGGGGAGCGCGGCAGCCGCACGCCCAACCCGAGGCCCGGGAGCTGGCTGGGGAGTGAATTTTCTGGAAGGCGACTTTAAAGGCGCCGGGCCAGAGCGAAGGGCGTTCCAGTGCGGCCGACACCTGGGCCGGGAAGGGGCCGCGTCGGTGGCAGGAAGCGCGCTCCGCCGAGGTCGTCGCGAAACCAGCTGGGGACCCCCGCAGGATGAACCACAAGAGCAAGAAGCGGATCCGCGAGGCCAAGCGCAGTGCGCGCCCGGAGCTGAAGGACTCGCTGGACTGGACCCGGCACAACTACTACGAGAGCTTCTCGCTGAACCCGGCGGCCGTGGCGGTGAGCGCGCGGGATCGCGGCCGGGCGCGGGCGTCTCCGAGCGGCCGCGCCTCTCCAGGGCCACAGCCCGCCCGCGCCGAGCGAGCGCGGCTCCCGGGGCCCCGATGGGCTCACCCGCACCCCACGGAGGTCGGGTCACCTTCCTCCCCTGCCCGGACACCTGGACTCGCACGCCTTGGGCGCCCTCAAAGAGAAGGCCCGTCGCCCCTTGATCCCCTTGGACGGCGGGGCCCTCGGGGACCTGGCTGTCAAAGGCCACAAGTGGGAGATGCGAAGCCACCCTCGGTGGCGCGACGCACCCAACCCAAACGCACGCTGGTCCTTCCCCCACCCCCAATAGAAGCCAGAACAAAAATCTGGCTCTTTGGGTATGTCAACGTGGATTGGCCCTGGGGACACCCAATTTGCTTGATTTTTTTTTTTCCTTTTTTCTTTTTAACTGGATAGATCTTTTCTGATTCCCTCAGGATAATGTGGAGAGGGCAGACGCCTTACAGCTGTCGGTGGAAGAATTTGTGGAGCGATACGAAAGACCTTACAAGCCGGTGGTTCTGCTGAATGCCCAAGAGGGCTGGTCAGCGCAGGAGAAATGGACTCTGGAGCGCCTAAAAAGGAAGTACCGGAACCAGAAGTTCAAGTGCGGGGAGGATAACGACGGCTACTCGGTGAAGATGAAGATGAAGTACTACATCGAGTATATGGAGAGCACTCGAGATGACAGCCCCCTTTACATCTTTGACAGCAGCTACGGCGAACATCCCAAGAGAAGGAAACTTTTGGAAGACTACCAGGTGCCCAAGTTCTTCACTGACGACCTTTTCCAGTACGCGGGGGAGAAGCGCAGGCCCCCTTACAGGTAAAGTGCTGTCAGTTTACAACAGCAGCGCCAGCCAGCTCAGTCAGCTCCCTTTTTACAAAACAGTGAGTGGTTTTCCCCTGGGACTTACTTTGTGGGCTACTGATGCCCACCTGGGCATCGGGATTTCTGAAAGCTCCCCGGGTGATTCAGACTCGCAGCCGAAGTTGATTTACAAGGGAAGTTCGAAGTCCAGCACTAAGGCACTTCAGTGATCTTCCTTGTTTCTGTTAGGGGTCATTCTGTACACAGTTGGCCTCCTCCCAAAATGTGTGTAGTCTTTGAAACAAAGATGACACAATGTAGTGTATAAAACTGCAAACTTGTTATTTTGTGATATGTGTGGGGGGTTAAATTACTCTTCATGTCTTGGATGTTTCTGTCCTTCAGGTGGTTTGTGATGGGACCACCACGCTCTGGAACTGGAATTCACATCGACCCCCTGGGAACCAGTGCCTGGAATGCTTTAGTGCAGGGCCACAAGCGCTGGTGCCTGTTCCCCACCAGCACGCCCCGGGAGCTCATCAAGGTGACCCGAGAAGAAGGAGGGAACCAGCAGGATGAAGCTATTACCTGGTTTAATATCATTTATCCCCGGACACAGCTTCCAACCTGGCCACCCGAATTCAAACCCCTAGAAATCTTACAAAAACCAGGAGAGACTGTCTTTGTACCAGGTATAGATGAACTGAAACAAAGCACTCTTTGAATTTAGTAATTTGTCGTTTTGGAGCAGAACTGCATATAGAGTGAGTCAAAGGAATCCCTCTGCATACTGGCCACGTGGGCCGCCCCATGCACACCTCTGGCAGGAAAAGCTACTGTGCTGTCAGGTCCTTAGGGGGTGCTGGCTTCTTATCCCCTAAATGCATAGTGATTAGTGATAAACCTTTGTGTGTAAAGATCCTACTCGTTTTTATCCTTAGTTTAGCTCGTGTCTTGTGTACGTTCTATGACTTGTGCATATTTCTGTGACTTGGGGTTTTGATACAGTGTAGCACTGAGTGGGTCGAGTCAGGAAGTAGTGACTTAGAGCTTAGAGGCAGGAAATCAGTCCCACACCAGATGCCTCTGATAGGTTAAGTCAGTGGTTCTCAACCTTCCCAGTGCTGCGACCCTTTAATACAGTTCCTCATGTGTGGTGACCCTCAACCATAAAATTATTTTCATTGCTACTTCATAACTGTAACTTTGCTACTGTTGATGTCTTAGGCAACCCCTGTGAAAGGGTTGTTCGACCCCCCACAGGGGTCGCGACCCACAGGTTGAGAACTGCTGGGTGAAGTGTTGGGAATAGGTGTCCTCCTAGGAGCTGAAGAATTTGCTGCCTTTACAGTTTGAGTCACAGCTGTGCAATAGCAAGAGAGGACACATTTTTTTCGTAAAGGGCCAGAGAAATGTGTTACATGTTGTGGCCAGACCGCCTGGGTCTCAGTTGCTCAACTCTGCCCTTGTAGCAGGAAAATAGCCATAGACAATCCAGAAGTGAACAGGCGCAGCCCCACTCCAGGGAAACCTGACCCAGACAATTGTTTGTGACTGTGGATCAGGAGGAGCATTTCTGCTCGTCACTGTCTCAGGCTCCCTCGTGGATCGGAATCCCCTCCTTCTAGGTTCACTTTAAATGTTACAGGAAACTGATGTTATAGAGTGATTGTCTGTAGAGCCCAACCCTCCTTAACTACTTTTAAAGAACAATTTCTCCTTAACTATTTACTTGTTGGATTTCAGGAGGCTGGTGGCACGTTGTCCTCAATCTGGATACCACCATTGCCATCACCCAGAACTTTGCCAGCAGCACCAACTTCCCTGTTGTCTGGCACAAGACGGTAAGAGGGAGGCCAAAGTTGTCCAGGAAATGGTATAGGTGAGAGCCATTTTGTTCTAATTTTTGCTTTGTTCCAATTTCTACCGGAGATAAAATGGAAAGAGCCCACCACTGCAGTAACGTGGGCTGAGTTAGGCCTGGCCAAAGCTGGGGCTGCAAGAGTGCCCGGGTACAGGAGAGTGGGCCAAGGTCAGGGCTAGTTCTCAGGATGCTTGCCAGCCTCGAGGTGACAGGACACTTCTGCGTGTTTGGTCAGAGCCAGTCAGTGAAAACCTGCTGGTAACCGGGGTTGTTTCTCGTTTTGGTATTGGTTTTGCCCCCAGAGCTAGCACTAGCAAAGGAAGCCCTTTTGTTTCCGTTTTATTTTGCTTATTTCTTTTCCTTACCCAAAGGTGTTATTCCCGTTTGAACTTAATACCTTCAGTTCTTATGAGTGAGGTCACTGCCCTGGAGACTTAGCTCCTCTGTTTATCCACAGAACAGATACAGCACGGGCAGCGGCAGTGCAAGCCACCCCCAGCCACCCCGTGCCACTGTGTCCCAACCCTGACCTGGAGGGACCAGCTCTCGGGGTAAGAGAGGGATTCTGGCTTGTTCAGTGCTCAGCCCCCTGCTGAGAGGGCCAGCAGGGGTGGTGGCTTCGTTCTCCCCAGACTCCCGGGCATCTGAGGCCCACCTCTGCCCTGCGTAGGCTGCTGCGTGCTCCATCGGCCATTCTGAAGGCCTTATGTCACGGCAGGGCTCTGTCCTGTCGCAGTGGTGCCAGCTTAGGTTCCTAGGGGAGGGCTGCAGCCTCTCCGACGGTCCGGTTCAGTTTCACCCTCGACGCTTCTTACTTCTCACGGATCTGTTTGTTCTCCGCGTACGAACAATTCCACCAGGCCCCACTCCGGGCATTACGTGCTGTGTTGTGCAAGGAAGGTTAAAAGTCAGCTAGGACAAGTTCAGGGAAAAGTTCAGAGGAAGAGACTGTTTCGCCAAGTCAAGGAAATGTTGCTCGCGGTGGCAGCGCGTCCGGCCCCTGGCACAGGTGGTGGGAGAAGGCGTGGGCGCCTGCTCCTCCCGGAAAGGCCTGAGCAGCGCGGGAGGGCTCCTGTTCCCAGCCTGTGGATCCGCGGCCTCAGCACTCGACAGCCCTCATGCCCAGCAGGCACCTGCCATTCCCGGCACCTCTAAGAGACAGGTCTCAGCCTGGAGTCTGGGTTGTTGTGTGTGGCTGTCGTTGCCTGTCCCAACACTGAGAACAGCGTTTCCTGTCCCCCAGGATCCTGAAGCAGGAGCACCCCGAGTTGGCAGTCCTCGCCGACTCGGTTGACCTCCAGGAGTCCACCGGGATCGCCTCCGACAGCTCCAGCGACTCCTCCAGCTCCTCCAGCTCCAGCTCGTCGGACTCGGACTCGGAGGTGAGGCCCCGCTCACTCACCAGGCCTCCAGGGCAGGTCTCCCCGAAAAACCAGATGACTCCTTCCTCCCATCAGGAGGGAGAAAGATGTGGACGTTTTTTCCTTTCTTCCAAGAGCTACAACTGCCGTCACCCTGCTGTGGAGTGGCCTTGGCCAGTGCTCTAGCTGTATGTGCATCGGCACAGTAATCCCGAGGTCAGAGGAGGGCTCGGGGTTCAGCATGTGAGAGCCCAGGGCCACACAGCTAGCAGCAGCGGTGTCGGAAATTCAGGCTCCGAGCATTCTGACCTCGTGGTCCAGGTGAAGAATGTTCCCTGTGGGTGCTAAAGCGTGAGCCTAGAACCCAGCAAATTCTGCGACCTGCTAAAAGCTAACATAAATTGGGTGAGGGTCCTGCGCCCTGAGCGGATGAAATTTCTGTCCGTTAAGGCGTACTCTACTGATTGCATCTTTTCTCGTGGGAGGTGGTATGTTTTATGAATGTTAAGTGCTGTACTTAACCTTCACACATCAGGCCATGTGGTTCAGTGAAATTCTATAATGCCACCTCAGAATGATGACTGATGTTCTCAGGGTGGGTGTCCTGATTTCAGAGAAGCCTTCATCAGAGAGCACCGGGCGGGGGGCACTGCCGCCTGCGGGAAGATTGTCATTGTTTGGGAGCCAGAAACGTCTGAGATGGATACTCAGACTGCATTGCGGGGCGGTCACAAATGGCTGCTTTGCTTCTGGGAGAAGTGAACCGTGTGTGCTGTCTCCTGAGGTCAGAGGCTCCGTCCGCGCTGAATTCCTGTTTCTTCTCCTCCCATGTCCAGTGTGAGTCAGGGTCTGAAGGTGATGGGATGATGCACCGCAGGAAGAAGAGGAGGACCTGCAGCATGGTGGGGAATGGGGACACCACCTCCCAGGACGACTGCGTGAGCAAAGAGCGCAGCTCCTCCAGGTGACCAAGCACGGCTCTTGTCTGTGTCGGAGGACGTGCTGCGGCCAGGGGCAGGGCCCAGGGAGGCAGCCTGCCGGACCCTGCAGACACGGGGAGGGCTGGCACGAGCCATAGGACGAGGACGCTCCTGGAATGAGCCACCCACCTAGCATTTGCAACAGCAGCTTTTTGTCTGCCTCCCGTGCAGATTAACATGGCTGGTTTGATGCATAAAGGCAAGAATCTATGTGGATGGTGCCAAGGAAACCCTTTACATTATTTAATAAAAATTAAATGCATTTTATATCCCTGGATTATTTTTTCCTTTGAGAATACCAGAATCGTCTCGTGTTGCTTTTGTCATGGTCTTGGGGAAGGTAGGCACTCCATGGTGTGCCCTCCAGGGGGAAGGCCTAACAGGGAAATGCTGGTGACCTCCCCTGGCATCTTCCGGAGCCTGAGGCGTGGCCCTTTTTCCTCCCACTTTGCCGTGGCTGCTCTGACAGCCAGGCCAGCCTGACAAAGGCGGAAAACTCAGGGTTTTTTTAATAAAATCCTAATTGTGTCTCCAGATTTTTAAAAACCAGATTTTTAACTTTAAATAAAGTTCAGACCTAAAATCAGCCTGGCCGGTGTGGCTCAGTGGTTGAGCGTCGACCCATGCACCAGGAGGTCACCAGTTCGATTCCCAGTCAGGGCACGTGCCCAGGTTGTGGGCCTGATCCCCAGTGGGGGGGCGTGCAGGAGGCAGCCAGTCAATGTTCTCTCTCATCAATGTTTCTATCTTCTCCCTTCCTCTCTCTCTAAAACCAATAAAAATAAAAACTTAAAATCAATAAGGTAGAGCCTCTGCAAGCACCTGCCCCAGTGCTGGGCACGTGGTGGGCTCACAGCGAAGTTGGTGACTCTGGGGGCACCAGGGCCTCCAGCTCGCAGAGCCCTGTGTTCGATGGGTCAGCCTTAGGGCTGAGGGTTTCAGGTAGACGGTGAAATCCTGGAGTTTGTAGGATGTTGAGTGTCTAAAGTCCTTCCCTGCTTAATAGGGAATGTTCCTGGTAAGGCCTTCGCGTCTGCAAGCAGCTGAGTGTTTGTTTCCTTAAATGTGTCGTGAAAGTTCAGGACCTACTACGTTTCTTCTGTGACTTCCTTCCTCACTCTGGTCTGGCTGGCACACCACGGGGAACCTCAGGTGTCATTCAAGTGAATTGATTGGACTAGAATGTGCATTTTTCGGCCCGAGAGATCCTTTTCACAGCCATACTGAGATTTCTGTTGTTACAGGCTTGTTTCTGCCCTCAAGGTGTGACTTTGTAATTTGTAAGAAAAATTCTACAGAAAGCCCAGCCATTGCTTCAACGCGGGGGCCTAGGGTTCTGCTTGAACATTTCCTTCCTGCTTGGCAGCCCTGCTGCCCACATGCTGATCACAGGCAGGTGTACTTTCCTTGGCAGGATTAGGGACACCTGTGGAGGCCGCGCTCACCCCTGAGCGGGTAAAGAGAGACCTGAGGTGGCTCTCCTGTCAGCTGCTGGCAGTCACCCAACTCAGTCTCCTGGTCTCCTGCTCCTCCCTCCTCCTTTGTCTTCGAATTTGGATTATCCTTCTTTGGTCCAAGTGTCTGTCTTTGGTCCAGTGCTGTTTTTGCTGCTCACTAAGAAGAGGTTGGCGAGAAGTTGAAAGCCTTGGCAAGCTCAGTGGGCCACGAGACCCCGAAGGCTGCCGCCTTTACCAGCTGGGCGACCACAAGGCTGGGGCTGTGATCCTGAGTGTCTGTCAACATCTGTCACTCACTGATGTTGGCAAGGCACTTGCACTGTCCCCAGAGCTGGCTGCCCCCACGCAGACACTGACGAGGTGAGTGGACTTTGATTCGTGGGTGGGGCCAGTTACGTGGAAGAAGTACTGTGAGCGGGCTCCCTCCCGGCATGTCACCATCCAGAAACGTTCGGTGGCAGTAACCCAGCCCGCGTGCCCAGCTCCGCTCACCACTGCCCAGTACTGTCTCTGATTCGTCACCCTCCCCCACCATCAGAGAGGCGGTTAAATTCCAGCGGTGTTTTTGTGTTGCGTATTTGGGGGACCATCAGCAGGTCTGAGTTCTCAGTTTATGAACAGTGGGAGAGGTGCCCGCTGTCTTCTCATCACAGAACTTGACAGATAGGGCCAGGCTCTCAGAGGTGCCCCATTCGTTCCCGTCACGTGACCGGAAGCCGGCGCTCTGCTGCCCAGGTCTCCTGATGAGCGGCCCGCGTGCAGACCTGCCGGCCTCAGGTTCTAGTCAACGGCAGCATCCATTCGCACACGGCGCTTCTAGTCTCTGGCGGCCATTTAGGCTTCTAGACAGTTCTGGTAGGAAAACTTGGGGATCGAACAACAGGCTCTATCTCCTGACCCACCTGCTTGCCTTGATCTGTCCCTCAATGTAAATACAAATAAGGGGGTTGTCAGGGACAGGCCCAGTGAAAAGCACTGTTGCGGCTGGAATGTGGTGAGGGCCTTCGCAGCCCCAGGGGAGCAGGACCTCCGTGGTGCCCCAGAGGGGGAGCATGTGCAGACAGACAGACTATGCTGCTGCCTCCCAAAATCTCCCCAAAAATGGGTACACTCAGGGGGCTCCAGGGTAGATTCCCGACACTGGGTGGTTCATGCGACTTTTCTCTGGGAGGCCTGTCTCTGCTATGTTTTAGCCCAGCTCACTGTGTCCTAGAATGCCAACCTAAACATGTGGCCGGGATGGATGGAGAGCCGCTACCTTCCTGGCACCCTTACCTGCCCAGGTGCTGCTCTCCCCTTCCCCACCAGCCAGGGTGGCCAGATCTGTGTTTGGGCGAGAATGAAGTCAGACCTCGAAGCCATAATCTCTGTGTGTTAGTATCCGAATGGTGTTCCTCTTCCTTCTTAAAGAACTTTCTTGCCATCCTCAAAATGCTTTATACTGCTATGGGCTATCACACTCATTTTTCTCAGTTCATACCAACTGCTTCTCTCTAAATTTCAGCTTGAAGAAAAAAACAAAACAAAACCAAAATGCTGTTTGCCGCCAGGGGGCGTGGTAAGACGATGCAGTGGCTGGGCTGGTCCAGTGACCATTTGAATTTGAGAAATTAGCTACAGCTTTCTTTCCCCAGAAGCCACAAGTGACTCCTGTTTGATAAATAGTACCTGGCCCTGGCAGGTCTGGCTCAGCGGTTGGAGCATCGGCCTGCGGACCAGAGTCCTGAGTTCGGTTCTCACTAGGGGCACGTACCAAAAAAAAAAAAGATAAATAGTACCTGGAAATAAGGGATCAGGGTTGAGGTGGAGAGGCCATGACAAAGGAGTGGAGTGGGGGCCAGGTGATCAGGATCAGGTGGGACGGGAACACGGGATCCACAGGTCCTACCTGCCTGGCTTGAGCTGCTCCTGTGACGTGAAGGGAACAACATCAGACTATTTTTAGGGACTATTCTCCAGCTAATTTAAAAACCAGCAAGATGGGTCGTGAGAGAAGGGATCTTGGACTAAACGACTAACAAGGAGGAGCAGCAGGGTGTGGCGAGAGTGGGGGACCCAAGGCATGCAGAGGGCCTGGCCTTTGGGAACCACAGAGTTCCTAGTGACTTTTCCATCAGGCTGAAGAATCTAGGGCTGCACACAGGCACCTCTGGGGTCTTCAGTAGCACTGTGGTGTTGAAGGCGACACCTTTGAAAGAGAGCCACCCAAAACAGGAACATTGTTCACACTTGGCTCACGTTTGCAGACACCCATCCATTAATCACTCAAGCAGTCAACAGCCATTTTTGTGCCAGGCACTGTCCTAGGTGCTGGAGATTGCTGACCTGGTGGCACTTCATGGGCAGTGAGTGTTCACGCGAGCGCTGGCCAGTCAGGGTAGGCGCAGCCGCGCACTAAAGTCCTTACTAAATACAAGTGTATGCAATGGTCATAAAAAAGCATAATTATCATTATGGCTCTGGTCTTAGTAGTGGCTTCTTTGTAACTGAGTTCAAGATATATATGGGTCAGCAAGGCAGCGGCTGGTGTGTCTTACGACCTTCCCGGGGTTCTGTGCTGCAGGGATTTGGGACATTAGACAAGAGTGTGGGATGGAAGAGGAGTTCTGCATAAACCTCGTAAGGAGTGTGTCCAGGGGGTAGGGTATGAGCACGCAGCTTGGTTTCCTTGAATTGTGTATAGCCTTTCCACAGATAAGGTGTGTGTGGCGTGGGTTCCGAGCATTGCCCGTGGTTCCACGTGGAGTCTGGTTTCTCCTCACACTTCCCCTCCCTGGCCCCTGTCCAGATGTGACCTGGATGTGACATTGTATACAGCAAAACGACAGGAACTGTGTGTCCTCAGGTGGTGGCTCTCAACTCTGTCTCATTGTTAGTTCAAAAATTTGAAACATTTGTCCACTGACACCCCCGGAAGGATGACTGGATGCCACAGAAGAACTGGGACTGTCTGCTCAAGACCTGTGCCTCCTGGAGTTGTCCAGTCGGCCCCTGAGCAGCCCCCTGGCTCTGCGTCCTCTGGCTGTGGGGTCTGCCCGGAACGCCTGTGGGTCTGCCACTAGGTTGGTGCTTCTAACTTTCACTTGAATGAAACTCGTTCGTCATTTTAAATAAAGCAACCTGATTTGAAGTTGGGTTTTTGCATGGTCTTATCCTTGTTTCTTTTCATGGTAACTGAATTTTTGTCTCCACAATAGGACCTCTTAAATATATCTCGTAAAACAATAGGGCCCTGGCCAGTTTGGCTCAGCGGTTAGAGCGTCGGCCTGCGGACCAGAGAGTCCGGGTTTGGTTCTCTCTAAGGGCACGTACCTCCGTTGCAGTTTTGTCGATGTGTCTCTCTCACATCACTGTTTCTCTCTCTCTCGTCCTCCCTCTCTCCCTCCTGTTCTATCTGAAAATAAAAATGCAAAAATGTCCTTGGGTGAGGATAATAAATAAATAATAAATAAATAAATAAACAATAGGGACAAGCCCTGGTTGGTGTGGCTTAGTTGGCTGAGGGTTGTCCCATGCATCGAGAGGTCACTGGTTCAATTTCAGGTTAGGGTACATGCCCAGGGTTGCGGGCTCGATCCCTAGTAGGGGTGTGTGTGAGGGGCAGCTGATCGATGTTTCTCTCTTTCCCTCACCCTTCCTCTCTCTCTAAAATCAATAAAAACATATTTCAAAATAAATAAATTCATAAAGCAGTAGGAACAGGGGACAAAAATAAGGCCTAAACACTTTGGCTGGCTGTGCCCCAGTGGCCAAAAGCCAGTAACCAACCCTGTCCCGCTTGGCTCAGCGGTTGGAGCATCAGCCTGCAGACCAGAGTCCCGGATTCGGTTCCCACTAGGGGCATGTACCAAAAAAAAAAAAAAGCCAGTAACCAAGAGATAAGCCCCATTCTACGTTATAGTTGTGGGCTGTTTTTCATCAACCACCACAAACTTTTTTTATTTTGGCCTGTTCCCCTTAATATTACGTGACGCGGCAGGACTAAGCTGAGCCTGTCTGGGAACCCTGTCCGTCCCAGAGCTCGCGAGGAAGCGGGAAGGAGCGCTTGCCTTCGCCCTGGAGAAGGAGGCACCGCATGGAGCACCCTGGCTTACATCAGGCGTCGGCTCAGGCACTGCGGCCCTTCCGAAAAAGTACTAAACCGTCCTCAGCAAAAACTGGGACCTTGTTTTTTCTAACATTAGGCCTTACGTTTGCCACGGACCCTGAGGAGCTTGGCCAGCCCTGTCTTTATTTAAAACGACCGTAGTGGGGATTTGGGAGTGGTCAAGAAGTAATGTTTCTGGTAACAACGTATTTATCTCAAATAGACACTGTTCAGCCACAGAACCTGGAAGGATCTGGAAGAACAAAGACAGTAGGGTTCCTTTCCCTCATGCCACCCTCCCAGACATCCAGAATTACGCAGAGGGCTTGAAATGGGAAACAGACAGACCCCAAGCCGCTGGAGCTGAGTTCCAGAAACCTGTTTTGCGGGGCAGCCTTGTCACAAAGGGGCTGCTTGTCCCGAGGGCTGCTGGGTCTCAGTCCCGAAGGGGCATTCACAGGCTGGGAACTGGAAATGACCTCTTTGTGAACATGTCTGAGGGCACCTACGGAGTAACAGCCGCTGTCCACGTGTCCACAGAGTGGCTCACAGTAAGTGGTCGACGTGGTCTCGCGGTCCTACAGGAAGCCCGGGGGCAGTTTGCATGAGCCTTCCTGGCTTTCCTCGGCCCAGCCTAGCACGCATATTTCCAAAATGTCTAAGACGACCTCTGTACGGGGTTCAAATGATGACAGTAAGCTAAGGGCACCCGAATAATGAGTATTTCAGACTGGTTTTCAAAGTGTCAGGCTTGCCCAGGGCAAATTAGGGTTGTCCCTCCTGGGCCTCCGATGCGTTCCCCAAGGGGTCAGGGCCTCATCCCCAGGGTCTGTCACCCCAGGGGGCGGGGCGCGGCGGGGCTCCGCCCCGGGGCGGGGCGCGGCGGGCTCCCTCCGTCCCCGCGGGCTGGCACTCGGCGGCCGCGGCGCGATGGAGGCACTGGCCGAGCTGCTGGCCGCGCTCCCCGCGCTGGCCACCGCGCTGGCGTTGCTGCTCGCCTGGCTGCTGCTGCGGCGCAGACCGGCCGCGAGCTCGGACCCCGCCGGCGCGCCCCCGGAGCACGCGCCCCCGGCCGAGGCCAGCGGGCCCTCCGCGCAGCCCGGCCTCGGAGCCCCGGAGCCGGCGGCCGCGCCCGAGGAGCAGGGGGAGCCCGCGGAGCCCGCGGAGGCGGAGGCGGAGCAGGCCTCCGAGGAGAGGCAGGTACGACCGGCCCCCAGGCGCCCCGCCCCACCTCGCTCGGCCCCCAGAGCCGGCCCCCGGCCCCCAGCCTCCGGGCGGGCGACCCGCCGGGGGACAGAGCCCGCGCCCGGCAGGAAAGGAGGGCGGGCCGGCGAGCCGGCACCACCCGCCCCCAAAGCGTCGCCCAGGGACGAGCCGTCGGAGTTGTGTCTTGTTCTGCGCGGCGACTCCGAGCAGATGGGGAGCCCCGAGCCCCTGCCCGGCCCCGCAGGGCTCCGCTCCCGCGCGCGCCCCGCGCCCACCCGCGCCCCGGGGCTCCCCACCCGCGCGCGAGCGGCTTGCCCCGAGGCGGGCGACGAGAGTTGTGCTGGTGAAGAAACACTGCTTCAGGCAGAGGGAAGCTGCCTGCTCTTCCAGGCCGGTTTGAATTCCGGATTCGAGTCCGTGATGTCAGGCTGCCCGGGTGGGACCGAGCGACAGGGCCGGACAGTCGCAGCCACTCTCACTGTCGCTTTCCAACGGCTTCTGCGCGCGGCCCGTGGCCCCTGGGGGAGCCGAGCGCCCGGTGTGCAGCGAAGCGAGATGAGGCGCTGCAGCCCAGCCCTCCCGCGTGGGCCCAGGCCCCCTCCGTGTCCGTCGGCTCCGCCCATCCGCTGTCCTGACCGCTCGGTCCGCGCCGCTCTCTGCTGCAGGGCACCCGGAGAGGTGCCCGGTATCCCGCCCGCACGCGTTCCCCAGCCCCATACACTTCCCGAGCCCCTCTCAGATGGGAAACCTGCGTTCCAGGCTGAAACCCAGGCGTGGCCCCCGGATTTCAGCACTTGGGGCCGTCCAGGCCACCACCCAGGGGCCTTGTTCCCCCCGCTGAGCTCCTGTCTTGGAGGGGAGGGTGGCCAGGGCGGCAGAAGCCCCGAGTGAGCGGCTTTGGTGCGCGGGTCTGCAGTGCCCGCTCCGAGTTTTGCTGGACACGGTGGTTCACACTGGAGACAACATTGGGGGTGGGGCGGAGGCAGTGAGGCTGGGCAGAGGCTTTTCTGTGGACTGAGTAAGGGTACCAGACCCCCTCTGAGCAGGTGCTTTGCTTGACAAGTGGGTGACTAATTGTGTCATTAGAGCGGAGTCTCACCAGCCTGAGGGCTGTTGTGTTCATCCCGGGTGGACGGATGTTTAATGGGAACTAGTGCTCTGCAGGGGCTGTTCTAGCTGGCCTCACCAGTTCGGGGGGCAGGTAGGGTGTGCCCCATATTTGGGATTCCTGCCTGCCCTCAGGCCCCTTGGGAGGGGAGAGGTGTGCCAGCTAGTCTCAGGCTGCTGCTTGCTCTCAGCCAGCCCTGCTCCTACAGTGTACGGGGTGGCCCTTCCTCCCCCAGTGGCAGCTTCTAGACTGAAGTTTAGAGTGCCCATTAGTGGCACCCAGCCCTATCCTGAGCCTCTGGGTTGCAGCTCTTCCGAGAGAACTTTCTACAAGGCACCTGGGCCCCCTGCAATACGATACCTAATGCGGTGAGTTTCATGCTGTTTCCATAGCAGCCCCAGCACGCTGCCTCTGTCTGGGAGAGTGCGCGGCCTGTGAGGGTGGGTGGGCCCTGGGTGGGCCCTTTGAAGGACTGGGACCTACAGGTTCGTGTGGCAGGCAGACTCCCTGCTCCCGGAGCCTCCCTCTCTGACCCCGTCCTGAGATAATCCGCTCAACTCAGAATGAATTGAAAGTCAGTTTCCTCACTCAAGAGGTCTTGCCCTTCCCTTTTGGGTTCAGGTCCCCAGCCCTTTCTGGGTTACCGAGCCCCCCTTCACTCTAACTGGCAAACATGAAGTCATTGCTGTGCGTAAGGGCCTGGCGTCAGGTGCTGGGGGTACACAGCTATCCACTGTCCCCTAACTCCCCTGCCTTCCAGGGGTGGGGTTACCCCTGAAAGAAGCTGCTAAGAAATTGCCTGGAGCCCTGGCCGGTTTGGTTCAGCGGTTAGAGCGTCGGCCTGCGGTCCTGAGAGACCCGGGTTCGGTTCCCACTAAGGGCACGTACCTCGGTTGCAGTTTGTCCCCGGCCCTGGTCGGTTGTGCGGGTGGCAGCCACTCGATGTGTCCCTTTCACATCGATGTTTCTCTCTCTCTCTGTTCCTCTCTCTCCCTCCCACTCTACCTGAACAAAAAATGGAAAAATGTCCTTGGGTGAGGATTAAAAAAAAAAATTAAAAAGAAATTGCCTGGAAATGGACTTGTGCATTTCAAGAGCAGGTCCCAGTTCTGTCTTCTGATCATCCTACCGCCTGAGCGTGCAGAGCTGGTGGGAAGGACCCCTGGGGAACATAACTCAGGAGTGGGGAACCAGCGGGTGAGGTCCACAGCCAGCCCCCTGGTCTCTCACTACACGAAAGGCAGCAGGGGAGGGGGAGGGGAGCCAGAAGTCACAGCTCCTGGAGAGCAACACTTAACTCGCCTCTCCCCTCCCCCCTGCTTTTCCATTAACCACATCCCTCTAATCCGCGCGCCCGGGCTCCCTTCCCCCGCAGCCTGGGAGGCCTGGGGCAGCTGCTGCCTTGACTCACAAAGTTGATTATTGAGAAGGACCTGGAGCCCAAAGCAGCAGCCTTCCAGGGTGGCTGGGGGTCGCTGGAAAGTGTCCCCCCGTGCTGGGGAACTGAGTATCGTGGGGTGCCTTGATGGGCTAGGACACTGAGCATGGACTGAAGGAATGGGGTGACCAGCGGGTCAGGGCAGGGAGGCTGAGCCGAGGACAGAGTTGGAGTATCAGAACCTCTTCATTTCTCAAGGATTGGGGGGGGGCGTGCCCCACTCTCACAGAGAATCAGGGCGAACACTGTCCGGAGCCAGAGCTGGTCGCTTTTAAGGCCTGGAAACGGCTTTCTGGTGCTGGTGTGTTGGTTGGGGTTTTAGGATTGCCAGGCTTCTTACCTAATGGAGGTGTGGGTTCCCATGAGGCGAAATGGTAGGATTCCCAAGGGCGAAGGGTCAAGTGCCATTCAAACAGTTAGATCTCTGTGTCTGTGCCAGAACTCAGACATCATGGCCCTCGGGTCCTGGCTGAGCTCAAAACGGAGTAGGGACTTCCTACCAGGCAGCTGGCCCTGTCACCGATCAAAACAGGTAGAATCTCTTCGGATTCAAGGAGGCCCCAGAGAGCCCTGGCCGGTGGGCTCAGTTGGTTGGGCGTTGCCCATGCACTGAAGGGTTGAGGGTTCGATTCCCAATCAGGGCATATGCTCAGGTAGTGGACTCAACCCTGGGTTGCGGCGCCTGTGGCAGGCAATGGATCGATGTTTCTCATATCTCTCTCTCTCTCTTCATCTCTCTCTCAAGTCAATTTTTAAAAAAAGTTTTCAAGGAGACCCCAGAGAGACATGACAGACATGCAAAGCCTGATCTTCGACTGGATTCTGGATCGAGCTGGGGCAGGGAACCGTGAAGGGCGTTTGGGAGGTCATTGGGACATTTTTCAAATGAATAGTTTATGAGATCATTGTATTGTATCGGTGCTCGGTTTCTTGAGTGTGATGCTGGTGCTGCGGTTACGGAGACAGATTTCCTCGATCTCAGGAAGAGGCGTGCCTGACGCGTGGGGGGGGCAGGTCACACAAGTGTGGGTGTGTACGGGAGAGGGGGCAAAGCTGGCCAAGTGCCAGCAGTCTGCGACTCTAGGTGAAGGGTATGAATGTTCATTGTTATTACTCTTCCAACTTTGCTGTAGGTTTGGAATTTTTCAAAATACAGCATTGGAAGAAAGGAACCCAGTGGGGAATTTCCTGGGAAAGGGCTTGGTTTTTTGTTTTTTTTTAAGATTTTTTAATGTTTTTGTTTATTGATTTGAGAGAGAGAGGAAGGGAGAGGGAGAGAGAGATAGAAACATCGATGAGAGAGAACATCGATTGGCCGCCTCCTGCACGCCCCCCACTGGGGATCGGACACACAACCTGGGCATGTGCCCTGACCGGGAATTGAACCGGCGATGTCTTCATGCAGGGTCGACGCTCAACCACTGAGCCACACCAGCCGGGCAGGGCTTGGTTGTTTGGATACTGCGGTGCTGTTGCACTGCTCGGGGTGCACAGCCTCATCAGCTGGGCCCTGGCTGGCCTTTCTGAAGTTACCCGCGGTTCGGTCCCTCTGTGTCTCCTTCCCTCACTGGCCCTGTCGCCACGGGTGTGCCCCCACTCTGGCTGCAGCGCCCCGATTCTTCCCAGAGTGACCACGGAGCAGGCGAATCCCTCCCTCGTCATCAGTCCTGACCGCGGTGAGGTCAGCGTGGCCCCTTTCTGTTCTGGTCACATAGTGGAAGCCAGAGAGTGCAGGGCCAAATACAGATGTGGCAGCTGCTCCCCTCCCTCCGGAATCTGGTCTTAGTCGGCTGGCTGCTGTAGAAGGTGTCACAGACGGGGCGCCTGAAACCACAGACGTTTACTCCTCACTCACCCTGCTGGGCGCTGGAGTTCAAGATCCTGGGACCAGTGATTTGGTTCCTGGCGGGCTCTCCGAGGGCCCAGACGGCCGCCTTCTTGCTGTGTCTTCACGGGGTCTGGTCTCTTCTCACAGGGCCCCAATCCCATCAGGGGGCCCACCCTCCTGACCTCATTTAACCCTAATTACCGCCCGAGGCCCCGCCTCCAGGCACCCTCACACGGAGGGTTTGGCGTGCACCATGTGGATTCAAGGGGACACAGACATTCAGTCTACAACAGGTCTAGTGATTTGCTAGGAGAAACATTGGAAATAACCCAAATGTCCATTGTCCGTTAATTAGGACATCCGATTCATTAGCAAAGTGGAAGAAAGAAGTAAGGGAGAAAGCTGAGCACCAGCCAGCGGAAGTGTGGGGCTGCGGGCAGAGTTCAGGGCTCAGGAGGGAGAGAGGGTGTCTTCCGTCTAGTTGTTCAGGCCCACAAGTCACTTGTTCCATTCGGGAAAGGGTCCGAGGGCTTTCCTCAGGGCTGAACTCCCTTCTGTCTTCCAGAGGTAAAACTAGCTGTCAGAATTTTCTACTCAGTAAAAAGTGATACATTTTAAAA